ATTTCTAGGAAATACTAAATAAAGATCAATGAAACTTACTCTGCAGTTAATTGTTGTTGTCCTTATTGCTCCAACGAAGTCTCGTGATAATTTGCAGTAATTTGTTCAAATTCACTCTATCTACAATAATAATATACAAGGTAGGAAACACGAGGTGCCATTTTCGCCGACATGCTCTCATTCAACACAACTTTTTCCACGAAATTCGAACTCCAACGGAAAATAAACATGCCAGGATCGTAGAAATAGGATAGCAGCAGATAGAGAAACCAATGAAGCTTTCCCAGATAGAGAAACGAATCCCACAGACTTGGACAAACTCGAAGAATATAATCCAAACACACCGAGAATACGCTCGCCGAAGCAGTCGGGCCAGATCAACGCGCGGCCAAGAAAATGAGGCCTGGGCACTGTACAAAAAAATTCCATCCCGGGAGTCCTGGGGTGACCTTTCTAGGGACCGATACATTATTTGCCCAAAGCCACCCTCCCCTGCTGGAAAAATACTTGATAGAAGGCAATTGTTCTTCCTAGCCAATCACTATGGCCTGTTATAAAGAGATTATTTTCCTCTCGAACTATATCCAGCTCCTGGCGCTGGTCCTCAGAAAGTTTATCAAACATCAATAGGGCAAGGTTATAAGGGCAAAGGAAAGAACAACGAAGGACGATTTACAAAACTTAAAACGAGCAAAAGATATAAGTGAATTTTGGCTCTTACCGAGGCATTTGTACAACAGGACCAAATTCAAAGAGAGGTGTATCACGATGATTCACATATTTAACCGATAGAGCGTTCACTTGTATTGACAAGAAGTCGGCGTGTTACTGCTGCATTAATCGCTAAATATGTTAATCGCTCTAGTTCTTTGTTTACTAGTGCACGGGCCTTTCACATTCATCTCAGTTATCGCAATTCATATTCTGTCGCAATTTTCTGTATAATTTTTGACATTAGTTTGTAAGCTTCACCGTTTATTTACGATAGTTTCGCTCGAGAGTTCACAGCAACAGTATCTCAGTCATCATCTACCTTTTGTTCAACCTTGTTTTTAGCCCGCCTTATAAGCATTTCGCGTTGTTATTTCATTAGTTTCATTACTGTTATTTGCGTTCCTTAGTAAAAGAAATGGGACGCCTTGTAACTCCGCAGACTCTCCTGATTATATTACTTTTTTTTTAGCCATTTAAATTCAGGCGCGTGTGCGGGGTTTGCTCTGGCAAATGGTGATTGGCTAGGAAGAACAATTGCCTTCTATCAAGTATTTTTCCAGCAGGGGAGGGTGGCTTTGGGCAAATGATGTATCGGTCCCTAGAAAGGTCACCCCAGGACTCCCGGGATGGAATTTTTTTGTACAGTGCCCAGGCCTCATTTTCTTGGCCGCGCGTTGATCTGGCCCGGCTGCTTCGGCGAGCGTATTCTCGGTGTGTTTGGATTATATTCTTCGAGTTTGTCCAAGTCTGTGGGATTCGTTTCTCTATCTGGGAAAGCTTCATTGGTTTCTCCATCTGCTGCTATCCTATTTCTACGATCCTGGCATGTTTATTTTCCGTTGGAGTTCGAATTTCGTGGAAAAAGTTGTGTTGAATGAGAGCATGTCGGCGAAAATGGCACCTCGTGTTTCCTACCTTGTATATTATTATTGTAGATAGAGTGAATTTGAACAAATTACTGCAAATTATCACGAAACTTCGTTGGAGCAATAAGGACAACAACTATTAACTGCAGAGTAAGTTTCATTGATCTTTATTTAGTATTTCCTAGAAATTTCAGGATGATATTTTTACCCCGTACAAACACTGTAATTTTACTGGAACCGTACTGTGGTACTATCACAGAGCCTGGGTTACCTGTGACACAAGCTGCACACAGAATGAAGCGAGCGCGCGGGGGAGACTAATATATAGATTTAGCCAGGGCTAAAAGCGAAGCTCTCGATAATATTTATAGTTTGCTCAAACAAAATATAAAATCGTGTAATGCTAAGCGGCGAGGGCATGCAACGCTGGAAAACGGTAAAAAACAACAATAGGTCTAATTAGCAAAAGCAACTTTGCATGTGCAGCACACTTTTTTTTTACATTTCTTTGCCGTTGTTTTGCACGACTACAACGCGAAACTTCCAGAAACTTCTTAGTTACACGTTTTATTGAGGTAATGTCGTACGTGTTCCCGTTCACTTCTTTTCACTGCCTCTCATTTTCACCTTGCAATGGTGGCCGCTAGCATTTCTGATTTTGTCACCGCTACAAAATTTTCACGTTGTTCTTCCAACAAAAAAAAAATGTCTCCTTCGGTTTTTTATCTCTCGCTCTAATTGCCTGTCACCCGTTTTCTCGTTGAACTTCGCTGGCCTGCCTCCCACTTTCTCTTTTTCTCCCTCTTTCTCTTGCTCTTTATTCCAAATTGGTGGACATGACAATTTATCTAAGCTTAATACTTTAGACAACACGGATACAGAAACAATTTTCGCTTTCCGTTTTCGTCTTTATAGGAGGTTTTCATCTAATCTCAGGAGACACAAATAACAATGGTGAAATGAACAAATGCTGGTGAACAAACAAAACGAGCTAATGAGCGTCCTTTTGTTTACTGTCCACCAGCATGGCGGCGATGACGTAACGTGAAAACCACCTATTGACTCTTGTTGTCTCTGCTTCCTTGTGCCGTGTTTTGATGTAATAATGATCGCCCTTTTCCAGAGAAATATACAGTGAAAGACCATATTTCTAATTCTAAACTAGAAAAAGGCAATAATTATTACATCCAAACACGGCACAAGGATCTTTTTTGCCCATTACAATCTTATTCTAAGAAAACTTTAAGAAAAATGTCCAGAAAAGCGCTCGAAAATACAAACGAAATGTGCTCATGCCCCCTAGGCATCCTATAATACTCCTTAAATCGAATTAATTCAATATGGCCGCCGTATCGGTAAAAAGGTCCATTTTCGTTTCGCTTTGTAATAACATTCCGGCGGGCACGGCGAAACAAAAACAGAGCCTGATACAAACCTTCTACGAAACGTCTTCCGCCCACTATTTTGATTGATTGACATTTTCCGAATCAGCCAACCAAAATTACTTTCGTTGCTTGTTTTTCTAGTATGCAAATTTTTCATGCGTTGGAAAAATGCAGACTGGGTGACTTAAAAAATAGCTTTTATCTATTGATTTTTTCGGCTAAAATGAAAACAGTCAGCACAATCACATTTAACCTCTTGAAAGATTAAAGGAAATCTCAAAGGTTATTTCTGTTGCCGTAGAAGATAAAAAGTTTTCGAAAAGACGGCGACACGATGTTCTACTAGTTTTATTATTTTGGCTAGGCGCGCTCGAATTTAAAATACTGAAATTTCTATTTTTCTGTTGGCTTAATATTTTCATGAATCAAAAATATGATTTTTTTGAATTTCCATGGCACATATTAAGGCATATTTTCCTACCATAAGACCATAAAACAATAAAAAAGACAGCAAAATCGATCCTTCTCTTCGCCGACGGCGGATCGTTCACGAAAACAACCACGCGAGGAATAAGCGCTTTCAACTTCCGGCGTTTCCGACAGCCAATCAGATCTTGCGGCATTGTTCCAACAGCCAATCAGCGTTACGGCCAAAATCTGGCTGTATCGAGCACAAACCTGAGAGAGTTTGTATCAGGCCCAATTTTAGCGGTACCCGTTAGAGATAATGTATGAGAACCGCTAAAATCGGGCCTGATCTCAGTTTATGATCTGACTGGAAAGTGTGACTAAAAAAGTGACCGGAAATGCTCAACCTGGCCATGCGTAGACGTTTTGCCGCGGTGTTTGTCAAGCCAGTTGTTTAATTTGCGCGCGCCGTCGTCAACTGAAGTTCCCGTTCTGTTGCTAAATCCGGCAGCACTAAAACACAGAATCCGGAATCCGGAAACGGAAACGGAATCACGGAAACGGAAACGTAATACGCAATCCGTGAAAGAAGGTTCCAAGCGATCGATTTGAAAAAAAAATGTTAGCAACGACAAAATAATAAATAAACAGATAAGAAAAAGACATAAATGAATAAATTAGGTGAGCAGAGGAGACTGCTAGTACTGCTGTATCAAGGGAGTCGATTCCGGTGAAAAGACTCTTGATACCACTTCTGGCAATGGATGCAAATTCTCATGGGACAGCAAAGCAAGGACAAAAACGTCACTGACAAAAGCTAGTTCCTTAAGAAAAAGGTAAGTTACATGGACACAGACTTTGTTTAAATCGACAGAGGCGTCGTTTATATAACTGAAGGGCGTCGCCGTCAAGTTTTTCCTGAGTGTTTTTTCTGGGTTGTCTTCAACAGTGTTCAGTGTTATTTATCAAGACAACTTACTCAAGAGAACCATGGCATTGTGGAGTCCAAAGAGAAGAGAGAATTGTGCATACATTTGCTTCATTCCGCAACTGATTACATCAAAATAATGCTCCGTGTTTAATAAGCCTCTTCAACAAAAATACGGACGTCAACGTAAACTCAATTACCGGTACGCCAGTATTCCATCAGTATTCAGCTTGGCGAAAAAAGTTGAACTTATCGCTAAAACACCGGAATTGTGGTCACATCAAGGGTCGGTCGTGGCGGAGTATTCAGTTTGGGGACAATCACGTGGTAACCCATAAACTCGTGAAAAGAAATTACTCGTAAATTTACTTTCATCGGCCTTGCAGTGCAAGGCACCACACTACGGAAAATCTTATCAAGGCACAATAACAAGAATATATTTAAGGGAACTGCCAAGAAAACTAAAACAAATTATCTTTGGATTGTACTAAATTATGCAATGTGAAATTGTTTAATTTTCTATCATTGATATTTGATTCCGTATTCCGTGTCCGTTTCTGTTTCCGTTTCCATGATTCCGTTTCCGTTTCCGGATTCCCGATTCCCGCTTCCCGATTCTCGATTCTACGCTTTAGTGCTGTCGTGCTAACGTTCCTACATGACTTCACAACCCGGAAATTTTTCTTCAGTCCTCTCACGGTTTTGAGGGCAAAACATGGCGGACGGGTCTATGGTCTTCTTGCTGCTATCTTTTCTGGCTGTCAGTGTATCTAGTCTGGAAGTATGTACAAAGTTGGACGACTGCTCCTGTAAAAGGAGTAATGGAAAAATAATCAGCTTAAGGAACATCGATGGCAAGTCTGGTCCCAAGTAAGGAGTCTTTAACTTTAAACTGCGAAGTTTGCACTTGTTGAAGCTCGCATTGTACTTCTCTGGATGCCAGAGGTCTTTCGCAAAGCAGCGGCGAGAAGCGTACAAGAGCTGAATCGATCAATCCGTTGCCCCCAAAAAGGAAAAAAAAACTCTGGCAACCAGGGTAAAGCTACCTTTGTATCGACGTTGCAAGCTTCTTGTCGCAGAAGGAGAATGTGGGTGCGAAACCTTTGGCAAATAAGAACCACCGATACATTTTTTTTCAGTATCACATACAATGACCCCAATTTATGTTTCCATGTTTCTTTACTTTTTAATTTGATCTTATCATGATTATTTTATACAATTCTCATGAGCTCAAGCTTAAGCCTTGTATAGGAAGAAATAATTGTATGAGCTACCGTACGGAAATCGCCTGATGTCTTGTTACACTTTCAGTTCCCCCTTACATGACGGCCATGGAATTTTCTGAGGGGGGGCTTTAAAAGCTATTTAAGAAAACGATAGCTGCATGAACAGCATTTGAATAACCTGCAACCTCTTCTTTTGGAGATGTTTTGGCATAGAGCCCAACATTATTTTCTGTATTGATTAATTATTGCAACCCAAATCATGATGGTCACATCTGTTTCTCAGTGTAAGATTCTCACTAAGTGGCTTTTGAGTAATTTTAGACCATTCGATTAACAGCTTCTTGGGTTAATAGAAACTGTTTAAGACTCAATGTTAAACCATTTTTAATGTTGGCAAATATTGTCATAACGGTACTCCACTCCAAAGTTTCTTTTATGTTATCATTAATTCATCACCTTTTTGTGCTTATAGTTCCACTCTTTTTTAAGACTTACTTTTCCCACTGGCCTTGCTGCCTTGAGATAGTGTACCATTCAGACTATCCCCATGTCTTTGTATATTGAAACTTTAGGGTGCAGAGGATCAGCATGAACTAGCCCAAAAGTCATTTTGACTGCTAAGCCTCCACCCCCCCCCCCCCCCAAAAAAAAAAAAATTGATGAAGCACTACACGCAACCACTACCAGCCCACTTTTGAAGGGTTGGACAAGCAACTTAAAGATATGAGAGTTTGGCGCAGTCATCAGGAGCCAATTTAATAAAACTCTTACAAGTGTAACGTTTACAACTGTGCCCATTGTTCTAGAGTCGTAAGACAGTAGCTACGCTAATTTTGTAAATTTATTACAGGGCTTGAAATAATGGGCAGTCAACGGACAATGTCCGGACTGATTGGAGAGTTGACTGCAGTCAACTTTTCGTCTTGCCGGGCATGCACATTGTATTGAAAAAATAAAAATTAACAAATTTCCACGCTGTTCAGTGGTTTCAGTTGTTATCAGTATGTAGCAAGTCGCTGTGTATTGTGGAACATTGATCTGAAATCCTGGGTGAAATGCAACTAGAACCATTGTTTACAATTCATACATTGAAACAGACATTGGGATTCACACACTTCCAGTCACAAAATTGAAAATATTTTCACTTTTGTTAGTTAATTTTCTCCATGAATACAAATTTTCTTCCCTTGTAATGAGGAGTAACATGGATTACTGGCGGAGTTATAAGATCAAGATCTCACACCTCGATACATACTCCAGAAATCATAATATTTGGAGGCACCGGACAAATTTAATGTGTACAATAATTTATTTTTATTGTTGGCAATAAGTGCTTTGAAGTACTATAAGCTTTAAGCAAAGACTTTTTTGGAAATATATAACATCAGTTTTGATTCATTGGCCGCTGTTTTAAGAGTTATTTATGTTATCAATTTGTCCACCCAGAAATGATACGTGACCAAGCTAAAATGAATTTGTCTGGACCTCATGTCCAGAGACTCTCCAGAAATTATTTCAAGCCTTGTTATTACACTTGGAATAGTTTTATTAAGTTGACCCCAGAACCAGTCTATCTTAGCAAAAAGGATGCAATGATATGTGCTTCTGATACAAAGCTTTTGGAACCTTTGCGCCAGATAGACTAATCCGGGATTTAACTTTCTCGTGATTTTTGCACCTGCAATTTCTTGCGTCCCTGCATTTAAAATCTTGAATTTTTAAGCGCTAGTAACTTAGCAAGTGACAATTTTCACCCTGATGAAGGTAGCAGTGCTGGAATCCTGGGCTTTGGGATGCAAGATAGTGCTCAAAGAACTGACGATTGAAATCCAGAATCCAAGATCCGCTGACAAAGAATCCACAATCCAGTACAGTCAAACCCCACGTTTACTGATACCCACTAAAGATGGACACCTCATTATTATGGACAGTTTGCTTTGTTCTTGGGGAAAGAAAGCCCGTGTTTTTTCTCTGAATTGAAACCCCTTAATACAGACACCTGGTTAATACAGACACCTTCTTTGTTCCCCTCAGTGTCCGTATTAATGAGGGTTTGATTTTACCGGCCTGGAATCCAGAATCTTACGATGTCTTGGATCACGTTACATGGGGCCAAACGGTAGCTGTGCCTTAAAAAAAGAGAAACTTCTGTTTCAAATGGCAATACCCTGTTAATTCGCAAAATTTTGTATAAAATGTGTTATTTTTTTGCCAGGTAGAACTTACAAAGAGGTGTAATATATCTTAATTTGCTGTTTCATGTTGCTGTTGTTGTTTTTTTTTTTCTTCTTTAGATTTACCGGAATAAAACAAAAATCTAAAGCATTTACCTTCAGCTGGAATCCATGTACTAAGTTTTCGATTCCCAGTCACTGCAATGATGTCTTGGTGAGTTTGTGCTACTGCTATTATGCTTTAATGTGAACTGTATTTTTATTGTGTGTGCTAAATTGAAAGAAACCCTCTAAAATTCAATTTTTAGAGTTTTCTTACTTCTCATCAGCCATCACAATAAATTTCACTTCATCCAAGTACAGTGTGAAGTGATTTTTTTCTAGGCGCATTCGTAGGCCTCTTTTATATAGTGAAACATTGCCTCAGGTGGAAGGGTCGACCACCTACCTAAGCTACCCAGGGCAAGCTAACATTCCATACATTTCCTTACAAAATGTGGTAATCTATTTACAATTTAGACATAAATAGTTGCCTCGGCTAGAAGTAAGTCACTGTTCTGTAATGGTAGGGTTATCTTCCTTACCGGGCTAACTTTTCTCCACATATAAACACTTAATTTGGCTCACCTAACTGCGGCGTCAATTCAGTCAAGGCGAGCCGAAGCATGTGCGAGTGCTGCATTGGCTTGAGCCAAGGGGTCAACTTTTTTCTTATGTAAAATGTAAACACTAGCTAAAGTTACTCAGGTAGAGGGGTCATCTTTTTCTCATATATAACCGTTCGCTCAAGGTGACTCAAGGTGACTCAAAACAGGCCTTGTTACTTTTATTCACTTAATTTTGCACTGTTTTATTATGCTTACAACCTGATATATAAAATTATGGTAAATGAACTGAGTGGAGTGCAATTTGTATACTGAAATCATACATGTGATTTCAAAATCACAAGTATGATTTCAAACCAAAATTGCACAACACGAAGTTCAATTACCACTTTATTACAGCCATTTTGAAATCGCAGCGTTCAGTCAGTACTAATAATATATTTGACCAAGTAGCCGGTTTGTTGAAAAGTGGGAGCAAAATTAAAAAGGATTTTACATCTACAGTGTGATTCGTGAATAAATTACACTGCTAAGAGCCAATCAGATAATTGCAGGGATCACCAGTGATTTCAAAATAGGTATAGTACTTAATTTCAATAACCCTTCTCTGCATAACTCATTTGAAGCCAAGTAAAATACAATTGAACCTCTCCACAAAGGCCACCTTGGGGACAAAAGAAAGTGGCCATTGTGGAGAGGTGGCCATTATATGGGGAGGTAGTTGTGTTACATGACAATTTTTTGAGGGAGCACAACATGTTTTTTGTGCTAAGTTCATGCTTCCTGTCTCCCATAATCACAGGTAATCCAATCACTATTTAACGTATAGAGATAAGATACACCAAAATCTTCAATTATGACTTGAATCACAATGTTAACTGACACAATGAGCAAGGTTTGCAACATTCGCTATTGTATACAATTTTTGCTCACTGCAGCAGTAAAAATGAAGTAAAATCAAAGTACCATTGCCGCAATTGGTCATAAACATGCCAATTCGTGACCTTTCTTGACTATTTCATCAGTCACTGAAAAAATCTGGCCGTTGTCGAGAGGTTGTTTTGGCAGTTGGGGACATGCGTTAGTGCCGTTGCCGTTTTAGAAAGGTGGCTGTTGTCAGTGGAAGGGTTTAAATAAGGTAAATGTGTGGACTGTCCTCCCTGACAAAATAAAGTGGTCGTTGTTGAGAGGTGACCATTATGGAGAGGTGGCCATTGTGAAGAGGTGACCATTGTAGAGAGATGACCATTGTAGAGAGGTGGCCATTGTAGAGAGGTGACCGTTGTGGAGAGGTGGCCGTTGTGGAAAGGTGGCCCTTGTGGAGAGGTGGCCGTTGTGGAGAGGTGACCGTTGTGGAGAGGTGGCTGTTGTGGAGAGGTGGCCGTTGTGGAGAGGTGACCATTGTGGAGAGGTGGACGTTGTGGAGAGGTGGCCGTTGTAGAGAGGTGACCATTGTGGAGAGGGGACCATTGTGGAGAGGGGACCATTGTGGAGAGCTGGCCGTTGTAGAGAGGTGACCGTTGTGGAGAGGTGGCTGTTGTAGAGGGGTGGCCGTTGTGGAGAGGTGGCTGTTGTGGAGGGGTGGCCGTTGTGGAGGGGTGGCCGTTGTGGAGAGGTGGCCGTTGTGGAGAGGTGGCCGTTGTAGAGAGGTGACCGTTGTGGAGAGGGGGCCATTGTGGAGAGGGGGCCGTTGTGGAGAGGTGGCCGTTGTAGAGAGGTGACCGTTGTGGAGAGGTGGCCATTGTGGAGAGGTGACTGTTGTGGAGAGGTGGCCGTTGTAGAGAGGTGGCCGTTGTGGAGAGGTGACTGTTGTAGAGAGGTGGCCGTTGTGGAGAGGGGAGCATTGTGGAGAGGGGACCATTGTGGAGAGGTGGCTCCTGTAAAGAGGTGGTCGTTGTGGAGAGGTGACCATTGTAGAGAGGTGGCTGTTGTGGAGAGGTGGCCGTTGTAGAGAGGTGACTGTTGTGGAGAGGTGGCCGTTGTAGAGAGGTGGCTGTTGTGGAGAGGTGGCCGTTGTGGAGAGGTGACTGTTGTAGAGAGGTGGCCGTTGTGGAGAGGTGGCCGTTGTGGAGAGGTGGCCGTTGTGGAGAGGTGGCCGTTGTGGAGAGGTGGCCGTTGTAGAGAGGTGGCCGTTGTAGAGAGGTGGCCGTTGTAGAGAGGTGGCCGTTGTAGAGAGGTGGCCGTTGTAAAGAGGTGGCCGTTGTAAAGAGGTGGCCGTTGTAGAGAGGTGGCCGTTGTAGAGAGGTGGCCGTTGTGGAGAGGTGGCCGTTGTGGAGAGGTGGCCGTTGTAAAGAGGTGGCCGTTGTAAAGAGGTGGCCGTTGTAGAGAGGTGGCCGTTGTGGAGAGGTGGCCGTTGTAGAGAGGTGGCCGTTGTAGAGAGGTGGCCGTTGTAAAGAGGTGGCCGTTGTAGAGAGGTGGCCGTTGTAGAGAGGTGGCCGTTGTAGAGAGGTGGCCGTTGTAGAGAGGTGGCCGTTGTGGAGAGGTGGCCGTTGTGGAGAGGGGGCCATTGTGGAGAGGTGGCCGTTGTGGAGAGGTGGCCGTTGTAAAGAGATGGCCGTTGTAAAGAGGTGGCCGTTGTAGAGAGGTGGCCGTTGTAGAGAGGTGACTGTTGTGGAGAGGTGGCTGTTGTAAAGAGGTGGCCGTTGTGGAGAGGTGGCCGTTGTAGAGAGGTGACTGTTGTGGAGAGGTGACCGTTGTAGAGAGGTGACTGTTGTGGAGAGGTGGCCGTTGTAGAGAGGTGACTGTTGTGGAGAGGTGGCCGTTGTAGAGAGGTGACTGTTGTGGAGAGGTGGCCGTTGTAGAGAGGTGACTGTTGTAGAGAGGTGGCCGTTGTGGAGAGGGGACCATTGTGGAGAGGTGGCTGTTGTAAAGAGGTGGCCGTTGTGGAGAGGTGACCATTGTAGAGAGGTGGCTGTTGTGGAGAGGTGGCCGTTGTGAAGAGGTGACCGTTGTGGAGAGGTGACCGTTATTAAAGGTTCCACTGTAGTTTGAAATTGACGTGAAAAAAGAAAGGTCTATTTCAGCACGTAGACAACTGACAATGAATTGTCCGCATTAGCGAGGTGAAATTTTCCGTTTTGATTGAAATTAAACAATTGCAAGTGCCGGTGTCCGCATTAACGGGTGTCCTTATTAAGCCGGTTGAATTTAGAGAAAATGGAAGGGTTTTCTTTCCCCAGGGACAAAGCAGGTCAGCATAATTAAAGCGTTTGTCTATAAAGCGGGGTTTGACTGTAGAGTTTTGATTGACTGCTGTAACACTTAAGTTTATCATCGAGTCCTGATATTATGAGAAAGCAAAATTTGAGTCGAGGCTCCTTTAACAGTACACAATACGACCATATCAGACAACTGAAGTTGGAAATTTCTGCTTATATATTTTGGTTTTTTTATCCTTGTATAGCTATGTCAACGTGGGAGTGGCGACCTGGATTATCCTGTGGCAAAAACAGCAGATTCCTTCACAATAATAGAGGGTAATATTGTTCTGGTTTATGAAGAAGTCACTGGTTTCGACAACAAACAAAGGTAAAACACAGAAAACTTGTACACACGAAGAAGTGCAAAATAACATGGTGGTGAAATGTCGTTGTAAATAAAGGATATCATAGTAATCTTCATGCTTCATGTTCCTTACATTAAAAGTCAGTTATTGATCTTGGCAGAGTTTTGCCGTGGGAGCTTAAGGAACGACGATGGCGAAGTCAACAACTTCGATGCAGTCGTTTAGAATTCAACTCTACAAAAAAAATTGTTAACATTTGACGAATTGAACGAGGTACAACAAGCGCGATACAGTTTGAAGCAGCGCGACTTCACTTTTTAAGTGATTTTTTCGTAGCCGTCGCCTTCGTTGTTGCTTAAGCTCCCTTTTAAGATGCAACGACGGCGACGACAACGAGAACGTCAAGGAAGCAATAGGTTGAATAGGCAAAACAAAAACTTTGCACGTACGTCACGCTTTTTTGTACATTTCTTTGCCGTCACTGCACGACTAACAAGCGACGGGTAAATTTTCTCAAATTCGGCTCAAAAAGAGTTCGCTTGCATTTGATAAAGTAAATGAGTTGGAGTAATCGCGATAGAGATTGGCCGTATTCACACTTGAGACGGATTATCCACTGGATAATTCGCGTCAGACAGATAATACGTCTTACTTTGAAAATGGAACGGTCTTAATTTTGGAGGGATAATCTGCCTGATTTTACCCACATGTGTTTCCCTCAATTTTGACGGATTTTGATTTTAAGTGACGTTTTCGTCCCCCGCGTCGCCGGCGAAGGATCTTAAGCTCTCTATTGTTTTAAAGCTCTCTAACAGGGTATATAAATGGCACGCGCCAAAGAGATTCAGGAGTTTACAAATATTTCTAATTAACATTGAGTGCTCATTAGGGTTACATGTGTTACTTTTCTTGTTACAAAGGAAAGGAGTGATTACCTTGAAATGCGATGAGAGCAAATATCCTGGTAATTTTTCAGAGTTTATTGAGACTGGCTCTTCGTCCTCCTTCCAGTATGTAAGTACATTATGGCAAACTTAGTTTGACCTTAGGACAACAGACCGATTTAGAAATACTAAAGTTGATTTTTGGTTCCAATGTGTGGCCATCAAAATCATGTACTGTAGTATTTATCCCTGAACCTCAAGGTGGTTTTTACCCCAAGCCTCGGAGCCAAGTTTGAGTTTTGATTTATCGCGATAAACTGATTGGTCTATTACACGGTGACATCATTTGTCGACTTACTAGTGGGTGCGAACGTCAACGGGCTGGGAAGTTGGGGGAGGGGGCAGATTTTTACAAGAAAACCGTTTACCAGGTATACATGTACTTTTTTCCGATCCATGCCTATAAGTAACGCGTGAAATGCGAATCCTAAACATCCTATAAATATTGTGAAAGGTTTGAACCCAGGAGTCATTTCAAAAGTAGGTTTAGTTTGATCGTCCGGGTGAACGTAGTCCTGAATAGGACTGTTGTTGTTGACAGTGACTGACGTTTCGACAACCTGTGCGGTAGTCATCTTCAAAGTCAAAGTGAATTGTATCACGTCAGTTGAGAGTATTATACTCTGGTTATTTATCTTACCAATAAAAAATAAAATTAACTGCGATAAAAGATATTGGGAACTTCACGCATCGACGACGGAAGGTTTTACTGACGGCATTCCCGACCGAAAGGGACTGGAACGATATCCTCAGTCTCTCGACTGTCCAGTTACGTTACTCATCTAGATGAATTCTAGGACGGCGCTCCTGATTTTGGCGCGAAATGCAGAAAACGTTTTCTCGGCGACGCGGGCGAAAGCAATTTAGACTTTTACTATTTATCTGTGCAACTTTTAGTTCTAAAACCGGGATTCCTGACTAGTGAGTGCTTTATACGGTATGCATTCTTTTCTTAAAGAAAAGTCGGAGCTATGTTGCTTTTTGCTCACAGTGAAAATTTGATCAATGACGAAGAATTTTTTGCGGTTGTATGATTTGAACAAGTCAAGCCAGAATTCTCGTCCATGTAGCCTCATATTAAAGAACCATCTAATATGCAACAGCTCACAAATTTTTGGTAACACTTTCTTTCTTGAATCAACGGAAACTAGTGGAAACAAAACTACGTCCGTTTCCTGAGTGTAAAATAGTTTAACTTTCAAGATGCGCGTTTCGATTTGTCAAAAACACCGGTCAACTTGAAGTTGAAAGTCCGCGTTAAACATATCAGGTTGGAAACTGTGATGAATGACCTGAAGTTATGTCTATGGAGCGGTAAATGAAGCGAAGGAAATTTATTTTCTAAGCAATACAACCCACGTCTACTCACGGCGACAAGTCGACTTCAAAACAGGCCAACAAAAGTCGTGGACTGGAGCACGACGGCTTTTATACGTAAATGCCTTCACGATTGCGCATGCTCGTGACGTAATTTCAAAGCGAACGCCGTCGCGAGTCTTAGCTTCCCGTCGTTACTGCGTAAAGTCCCTATTAGCTACAACATTATTACAACGCTATTAACTAAATATTAATTGCTATCGTTAACTGTTTCACAGGCGGCGACGTTTACTTCCAAATGTGCGTGTGATGATGGCTGCCCTAATGTACCCGCTGGTGGTAAAGGATCGCAACGACTGAGCACGGGTAGCATCTTACTTATAGTGTACGTCAGAAACATATTGGCCGTATTCACACTAGAGACGGATTATCCGTGTGAAACGGGTAATCCGTTGGGTGATTCGCGTCAGACAGATAATCCATCTTAGTTTGAAAATGGAACGGTCTTTAATAATTTTAGATGGACAATCCGCATGACTTTATCCATCTGTTTTTCCGTCAATTTTGACGGATTTCGAGAGGGGATCATCACAAAACCAGAACGTTTCTTGACTTTTCACAAACACAAAATGCCTCTATTAATTCCTTGGGCTTTTTCACAGGCCAAAAAAGCAGATTTACCTACCCTTTCTTACACTTTAACCGGTGAAATCCCTACCCTTTCATATACTATGCAGACACCTGGAAAAAGGTCCCGTTTCGGGCGGAGCCTCCCTGTATGGGCCATTATAGGGAGTACCCCCCGAGACGACAACAAAGAGCGGATAGCGTGTACTGAGGGAGGGTCTTGTTCGGGAACACCGGATGAGATCCAGCCCTCTTCCGTTTGTTATAACGCGTTAAAAATGACCTTTTTTAATCTTAACCAGGCTTGGTGTTATCCAAGCAGGCTTACTTTTTGTTAATATATTCAAGACAGTATGAGACTTCATCGTTGGTCAGCGACTCTGTCACGCTCTGTATCCAGCTAACATGTTGAAAAACGGTTCATATTAATTTTCTTTTTTTTTCTTTCTTTTCTTTAAAACGCTGCGTTACGCAATATTAGCAGATGTATTAACTTTTAACATGCGCTCACATATTGAGTTTGGGACTTTTGTGGAGGAGCCTTAAAATTTTGAGACCTTTTAGCAGTGATCTCCAAATGTAAGAAGTGCATACAATTGAGTCATCACTGATGGGTTGAAAGATGCTGCGTGAGCAATCAGTGGCACGCTGCCATACGCCAAACAAATTGCCTCTAGCGACGTTTTGTAAGAGAGAGAACTGATACAAATTTTGACTTGTATAAGGCCCAGAGAAAAAAATGTACATCACTTCGACGAAAAGCGATAAAGAGGCAGATCGGGACGATCCCGCAACCCGGCAGATTTTTGGAGAACGTATCGACCATTTTTTCACTCTAGGAGCGCTCACCAAGCGAACGACATTATCCTTAAAGAAGACGGTACCTTTATCAACGACAAGAAAGTTCTTGCAGAGCTCTTTAATGGCTATTTCGTTAACATTTTGGGAGATGCTGGTGAAACAGCTATAAAAATGGATTATGCTGCTGATTTTATGGAACATCCTAGTATTGGAGCAATAAAGCACTACAGGATTGAGAAAGAAACTTTTAGATTTGAGCCGGTAAACTCCCCTAAGGTGAAACAGCTACTATTTCCAAAGCTACTACTTCCAAAGTTACCTCAGCGGAAGGTATCAAAAGGTATGTGTTGAAGGTAAACTATCTGAACCGCTCGGTATTCACTCCGGTATACCGCAGGGAAGTATTCTTGGTCCTGCTCTTTTTCTGCTCTTCATAAATGATCTGCCTCTAGTACTGAAGAATAATATTGGCATTTATGCTGATGACTCGATCCTCAATGCATCTGCAACTACCTTAGCTGAAGTCGAGGAGAAAATTAGACCTGACATTGACGCAGTATCGATGTGGGCAAAGGAAAATAAAATGAAAATGCATCCAGCAAAGACAAAGTACAGTATAATTTCGACAAGACAAAAAATTGCAAATTCAGCAAAACAATCTCTTGACCTTTCAGTTGACGGCATGCATCTCACTAAGGTTGAGTCAGAACGTGTCTTAGGAGTATATATTGATAGTCATCTCACCTGGAACGAACACACTGACACACTGCGCCGAAAACTACTTCAAAGAATTGCAATTTTAGCAAGAGCTCGGAAATATATACCAACCAAATATCGATTGCTTCTCTACAATGCAAGTATCAAACCGCTCTTTACTTATCGCTGTACTGTTTGGAGCAACTGTAGCCAAACCAACTTAGAGGAACTGTTTAAACTTCAAAAACGCTGCGCTCGATTATTTTTGGATAGTCCTCGGGATGCACGATCGTATGATAATTTTTAAAAGCTTAAGTGGCTACCAGTTGATCAACTATTCAAGCTCAATAAAGTCAGCCTTTGAGAGAAAGTTATTGATGGTAGGGCACCGAAATACTTAATTACAACCTTGGACTCACTTCCGTTTAAACACAAGTACTCTAACAGAACAAAAAAGGTTATACCGCTTACCGAAACCCAGAACTGAATCAATGAGGAGAACATTCTTTTATTCCTTAACTAAACTAAATGCTCTTAGCTTAGAACCAACCACCTCCTTTAGCTTAATGAAGACAACTCTGACTAATAACGTCGCCTCAAACTATACGGTGGACAATTTTAAAGTTAAAAAGTTATTCTGAGTTTTAAAAATCTTTGCTTTTTTTAATATCGTTGTAGACTGGATTCCCTTTTTTACCAATGTATTCACTTCCGTTTTTAACATCTCTCAATTTTTTAAAGCTTTAGAATTTTTAAGAACCTTTTATTATAATCACTATTTGTAAATATGCTTTTCATCATGAAACTCCGGATTACATCCAACGCTCCGCTATTTGTGATAAAGCGTTAAAACATAGCCTTCTTTAATCTTAATCTCTTCCTGTGTTTTTTGGTGTGAACTCATCGATTTAGTCGGGGCTTTTTGGCTGTTATTGTGTGACCCCTGTCACTCTCCTCAAAACACAGCAATACATCAAAGGTAACTCTCCTTAATCTATTTTATAGAAAAAAAGGAAAGATTAAATGATACTTAGCATTCCCAGACCTCAGTTTTTTTATTTCTCATACAAAGTCTCAATGGTCGCTCGTGACGGGACAGCGACTCTCTTGTGAGAAAATTCCCATAACACACTCATAAAGTGAGCTTGGGACGCCTACAGTGTTTTACTCGTATGGACAGCTGCAATTGTGATCTTAGCTTATCGTTTAGCAAAGAAAAGGGGTCGACCTGTACCTATCCAAAGCGGCTCTCTGATTGGTTGGCTCGCGAGAACAACAGGATTTTTTTATGGAGAAGTTGTTATGCACGCATTAGTTACTATTTCCCATCAGGATCCGTGACTTTCTTCATAGTTTCCTACAGCCAAACAACTTTTTGCTCCCCCTTCCTCAGTTTATATTTTGTGTATGTGCGCATCTTCGAAGTCATCAGATTTGGTGTTGTGTGCCTTGATGTAAGATGTAAATTGATGTCAAAGAATCTTCCTTCAATAACAGCTATTAATGTCAGTGCTGTCAGTAACAGGAGACACGGGCTGTTCCGGTTGTACCGAGTGTACCCGGCTGTACAGAGTGTAAATTGTCTGTATATTGTGAAGCATTATATTTCAAGAGTAGTATATCGAGAAAGCAATAAGATAAGTTCGTCACAGTGATCAAGACGTTTACAGGTAACACGTTTTATCAGAGTCTTAACAATTTTAAAGGCGCGCTGATATATCAGAGGCGGATCCAGGATTTTTGTATCGTTTTGAAGCGTTTTGGGCTAGTTTTGCTAGTCTGTCTTAACCTTCATAATAAGATCTAGCGGCTAAAGTCAAAAACCTCGGCGGCGAGGCCCGGACTGTCTCGCGATCGATGTTAGACAGACAGGCTAGCAAAACCAGCCCAAAACGCTTTAAAACAACACAGGAACACAAAACAAGGCAAAAGTAAGTTCATTTTCTTTGCTACACGATAAGCTAAGATAACGCGATATAAAAAGCTATAAAAAGCTACGTTACGCAATATTAACAGATGTATTAATTTTAACATGCACGCACATGTTGAGTTTGGGTCGCCTGTGGAGGAGCCCTAAAACTTTGAGACGTTTCAGTGGTGATTTCCAAACGTAAGAAGTGCGTATGATTGAGTCATCACTGATGGGTTAAAAGATGCTGACCCTTAGCCTAACCTAGTGCGCCTAAGGTCTAAGCAAGTGGCATTGACTTGCATGATTATTTTTTTAAGTCTTACTTTTCTCCTTTGTTGCAGGTTTATTCCTTTGATTTTCGTCTATTTTATAGCTGGGATGTTATATAATAAATATCACAAGGGGACTAACACTTTCCCTGAAATGATTCCTAATCATTCTTTCTGGAGCGATTTCCCATTTTTGATCAAGGTGAGAACGGCAAGGGACCCTTTCCATAGAAAACGGTCGCATGGTGTAAAAACAATTCTTGCTGGACGGCAAACAACGCAGTGGAACCTTGAAAAGAAAGGATGTTACCTTTTTGAAAGACGTAATCTTTTTGTTTTTCTTGCCCCACTACGTCGTTTGCCACCCAGCAAGTGTTTTTGTCCCATGTGACTATTTTCTCTGCTTAGGGTCCATTTTCACACACAGTTACATTCATTCTGCTCCTGCAGTCACAATTTTGGTCACACACTGTAAGGCGTTGAAAATTGCACGATTGTTTATCATGTTTATTTGGGAAGTGAAATTTTCGCACTTCATAGAATTTACATTCACGCAGTTTTCGACACACAGTTGCTGGTGTAACGTAGCTCTACGAGCAGCTTACAGCGACCAGATTAACTACTTCGTACAAGAGAGGAGCCACCCAATGGCCTCCACTGTAATATAAAGCAACGTCACTAGGCCTTCAATATTTGAAGCTTAATGTCTTTGCTTCCCCACCTTACTGAGAAATTGGATTCTGAATATGACTTTTCTACCAGGTAGAATTTTTGAAAGCAGTTCCCAAAATATCCTGCTTTGTCAGTGTCTTGTAGCTAAATTATTTGTCGTAGGCGTAGGCAATTTGCGGGGCACTGTAAATCACATCAGCTATTTGACTACCTTTTTATTGACCTACGTGACGATTAAAGTACATATAGATAAGTATGTGTAATCAAATGGTGACGAGTGAAGTTAGGGAATAATTTCCCGCGCGGTTTGTCCAAAGGCTAAAGGCTCGGGAAATTATTAGGATTTGGACAAAACGCGCGTGAAATTATTCCCTAATTTCACGAGTATACCATTTGATTACCTATTAATATCATGGGTGACGAATTGCGTTAGCAATCTTGAATTTTTGACATGTTTATCCTGGATCGTATCGATCGAGAACTCCACTCTCTTAAATGTTTAGACCTTAAATTTGGCTTTTAGAGTTCAGAATTTCTCAGACTTTTTCGGCAAAATACCTGCTAGAATCCTTCTTGATGTTCTCTTGTGTGTACAGGTGTTCTAAAGCGTCTTTTTGTGCCCTGACATCTTCATTCACGGCATTTTAAAACTTCGTCGCCATCTTGACACTGAGACGTACAGAAGGGTTGCCATGGCAATTTTGTAATTTCACATGTGAAATTACAAATTAACGCTGAAATTTCGCGCCAAAATTAAGGAGTAATTCGTCACCTATGATATTAAGTACGTCATTTTAAAGCTCGAAGCCTTCTAACAGGTTATCCAGCTGGTACGTATAGTGAAAAGGGGGTTACATGGAAGCAAACTGCACACTAGCAGAGCATTTTCCGCAGCAAACAACTTTTCTCTCAACTGCGCATGAACGTTCCATTATCCTTTTGCAGTAATCTGCAGGTGACGGAATTAGCTTTAAGCTGATCGAAACGTCTGAAAAATTAATAATTTGAATGATAAATAACAATTATTCACAACAACAACAACGCCCAACCGTTTTATTTACCAAGTTAAAAAAAGTTTACAAACGAAATGGTTGGTTTTTGTTGTTGTTGTTGTTGTTGTTTTTGTTGTTGTTGAATAATTGATGATTATCATTCAACTTAGTAGTTTTTCAGAAGTTTTGATTGACTTAGAGATAATTATTTACTGAAGTGGAGGTGGTTAGTGGTGGGTATTTCCCGAGTGGTAAATATCCACCACTAAAGACTAAAAAGTCATCCGTCTGTTCGCTCCATCCTCCAACGGGCGGCAAGGTGATAGACACGCCTAATTTCCCAGCGTTATAATGTCGTCCCGTTCTTCCCGTGACGTCTCAGACTTATTTATGCAATTATTACGGTAATTCGGGAAGCCATTTCGCTCTTACCTTACCGGCGAGTTTGGCGTCGCTAGGAGGTGAATAGCACTGGATATCCCGAGTTTGAGTAGCCAATCAGTGCACGCCAAAAACTTTTTAGAAAATGACTAAGATAGTACGCGCGCTGTGATTGGCTGAGAGGTGTGCCTGCATGAGATTATGAAAACATGATTGTAACATAGAACGTCGAAATGTTTTGCTTTGGGCTCGTTGATCACGCAAGCACGCATTTCAAAAACGTTTTGAGTTGAAAACTGGACGAGTTTACTTTTAATTATTTACAATTGAAAAAAACGTTTCTTCGCCTCAATTGAATTCAAAAAAGAACGGTCCAGTTTTGTTATTTAAGACTTATATTTAGGCATTGTTAAAAGCCGTTTCATGTCGTCTGTTGCTTAGTATACGTACGGATGACAAGGATGGACATGGATTGAAACTTGAAAAAAAATGACCAACTCTTTCAAAAACCGAAAAAAAAAAATGTGTTAGTGCTTTACGACGAAATTTGTTTGTTATGTTCTTCACAACTCTACAGGAGCATTTTGTGTATGGTCAAAGGTACTAAGTAATGACGTCAGCACAGAATTGACGTAAAACAGCAATATTCTCGCGACATGGCACCTTTAAGTAGAAGGTAAACATTTCCATCATTTATCTTTCAGGATGGATGCGTCTTCACGTTTGAGGGTATTACTGGATGCTGCGTTAGTTTGTGTATGAGACTTAAAGGAGACTCCTATGCCAAAATATAATCACTTTGCACGGAGCAAATACGATGTTAGGACAAAAAAGTTGGACCAATTTGATAAAAAAATTACTGTAGTGGGTGTATAAATGCTTTTCGTGCTTCAGCGTGCGTGGCTATCATTGTGATATCCCCGATGAAAAGAGCAAAATTTTGATTGGGTGGCACCCAAGCTTCATATAAGTCGACGAACGTAAGAGGGATTTAGTCAAATTACAAATCAGTACGGTTAAGGTAGGAAACAAAATGCGACAGTGTTAACTCATACCAAGGACATGTCATAATTCATAAAGAACTCTTCAGCGGCTAATACTTAATATCTCGGTATGAAAAATGCAACCGCAATTCGTTAGAATTTACTACCCCTTCCCACCTCCTTCTGTTTTGTGCCTTTGCCGATGATACCCAAAGAAACCTTTGCCTTTATTAACTGGGCTTGCCGAATGCTGGCCCAGTTCATAAAATATCTTCGATGTTTTCTCCGGGGGGTTATTTCTACCAATTCGTAGTTGGGGTGTGCCGTCCTGATTCTTTAAAACGTGACCGTAGACCCTATTTCAGACCAATAACTATTAGGTAAATGTAAGGAAGTACTCCTCCGGGATTGTGGGGTGTGTTGCTTATTTCAGATCAATACCTACGAGGCAAATGTAAAGGAGTACTCCCCGGGGATTTTCGTTGTTATGGTGGTAAACACTATAAATAAGCACATTATAAACGAAGGCAGCCATTAAATGAAAATGTGTTTGAAGCTAGCGCACTGTGCCTTTTCATCGTCTCCTTCAAAAGATGTTACGATGAGTACCTTTTGCGGTTTTTCTTCACTTTTTGTTGAAGTTTGTGTGTCTTTTTCAAAAGATGGTAGGATGGGTCGCTTTCGAGATTTCTCTTCGCTATTTGTTGAAGCTTAAACCGTTTTAGAAAGGCTTTAAACGCAATATCAGACAAAAACAAAACTTAAATTTAATTTGCTTAACAACCAGAATTGAGAAATGTACTGCTTGTTAACATTGTTGTATGACCCGTTGAACGACAATAACTTTTGGAATTTCCGGTTAGGTCAAAGTAGTCTTGTTATACTGTAGCCTCCCACGCAGGCGTTTTTAGGGGAGCTCGTGTGGGGAGAGATGAAAGACGAACTCCCCTAAAAACGCCTGTATGGTAGGCTACTTATACTGTCACACTATATTTATTTTGGGGAGCACAGAGATTAGGGGAGGGGTGCGTGAAAAAAAAACGCTTATTGTTTCCTGCTTAGAATGCCTAACTCGCTTACTTTTATTCACAACGGTGGAATTTGAAAGGTTACCATACAGCCCCGACTTAAAAATGGTACTCATTTTTCCTGTTGCGAAAATCTTCCAAAAGGGTACAATGTTCAAATGAGTTTATGTTTAACTCTCACGTAGCCTACATGGCAGGCGTTAGAAAGAGAAGGGGAAGGGAGTTAGGGTTAGGGTTAGGGTTAGGGTTACCTCACCATTGTAACGAACTGCACTTGGCGAAAAATGGGTTACGAAATATACCTCTGAACGATCTAATGAAACTTAGTGATGTGCATGTAACGATGTTTTGAGACCTGGTTTGAGAGCAATTACAAAAACAGCGACAAAAACCGTCATATTATTTCTAGTAATATTTATTGATTACTTCAGATGGCATCCCAAACCTTAAAACCTTTAATCGTGTTTTGTGCAGTACAATATAGTCGCACGTCGTGTAACACCACTAAAGCCAGCTGCGACAGAAGCGATGAAACTATCACCTCTATGCACACAGTACAAGAGCAAAAGGATGCTTAAATTTGTCTCTATAGACTGTGCTGGCAAATCGGATACCTCTTCCAGGTTGCAGTTCGTTGGTAGCACGAATAAGCACCCCATAATTGGGTGCACCGCAACTCCATTGCAGTACTGCGCGTGTAATGTCAAACTCCACAAAGCCTTGGGGACGGAAGGGGAAGATTGTGACTGTCTGTCCCTGTGGCAGGGCTTCTGCATCGTTGTCATCCAACCCTAGGTACTCGGTTGACCACCTTTGCCGGTAGTCCCTCTTCGTGGAAGTTGCTTGGGCTTGGTTCCACGACTTTTTCACCCGGTGCACCTAAAACCCACGCATTATTAACAAGAAAAAAGGAATTTTAATCAACATACGATTCAATGCGTCTATAAATGGTCAAAATTGTAAGACACTACTCATGACAAATATGGAGACGCAAATGAAATGCATTTTGAAGAAATAGAACCAGAACTTATTTTAGCTATTCGGCGATACCAGAAACTCATAAGGGGTTGAAACGTGTAACTCGCGTTCAATGCTCGTGAATATTCACTTTTACCATATTTGGAAATCTTAGTGACAGATATCCATTTTCAGCAAAATGGCTGCCGCGCGATCACCATGCAGTTGTTTTAAGACAAGAGTTCTGCATTTCAGGGTTAAAAATACACCGTTAAAAGACAAAAAATGGAAAGAGAAAGTTCAAAAGAATGCTCAGCTTTCTTTTTGTGGGGGAAGGGAAGCTTTTCATCAAGAAATCGTCCTTCGAGGAATTCAACCTTGTTTTTTTACAACGGAGCGCATGGTCTGTTTTGAAATGCAACCAAGGCAGTGAAGTTTTTGCTGAATTTTGAGGTACATTTTGCACTCTATGGCCAAGACAATTACGTTTTTTAAAGGAAATTTATGTATTTGGAAATGTTTCATAGACGTTTCATTTTTCTCTTCGGCGCTAAAGAAAAATTACAAAATGTGCCCCGATTTGAGATGCATTTTGTGTTGAATTTTGCCACGTGCTCAGCCGATTTCACTTGCGTGAACGGATCCACGATCCAGATAGTGTTTTCCGAATTGCTTTAAACGATTAACTTTTTGGATTTTGAATAAAAATTTTCAAGAAACGGCTTCTCTGTCTATTGTTTTGAGCAGGTTTTGAGTTTGTTCATTGATAAAATTAGCTCAAATCACGATCGTGACTACAACATCAAAGCTGAATTTAAGCTTAAATGCTTCTTACATTCATTACAGGCATCTCTTTTCGCGAAGATGTCAGGTTCAGGTTTTGGACACTCTCTTCGATACGCAGCTAATGAATTTTATTCGAAAATATTGTTTACTGTTTATTCTAGACTTTTAATATAAGAATTTTAAAAACCTATTTGCAGTATAAGTTTACTGTGCAGAGGGTCAACGAGGCATCGTTTTTTGAAGTGACAATTTCAAGAAGTTGCGAGGACCTCAATGGGTTTCATAATGTTACTTTTGGCCCGGGTGGTAAGGCAATAACATATTTCTGCTCAGTGTTTCGGTACGGTTCCTGCATGGTTTCAACCTTTGAAAGCTTTCTCGGCTTTTGGGAGTTTTTCCCCCGTTTGTCGGCCATTTTTTTAAGCGGGCGCGGGAACCTGAAGTAAAATTACGTCACCTTGTTTACGAAGTTTGATTGGTCAGTTATCTCTTCTTCTCGTTCCCAATATGGTACTTTCGAAAATGAATAATCACGAGCATCGGACAAAGCAAACATATGAGAGTTACACGTTTCAACCCCTTATGAGTTTCTGGCGATACAGGTAAACTAGTCAATTGTATTAAGAGTTAAATATTTTCTCCAGTTAGTGTACACCAAGGTTTATTTCATTTTAGGATTTTATTTGTTGCTCGGAGATACTAGCCTATTTTTGGCTGCTCTTAAATTCGAGGTGAAATAAAGTTTTATGTATGTATGATGTACGTATGTATGTATGTGACGCTAGGCTCTCGCTATATAAAAATCGCTAATAAAATCTATGATGATTAAGGTGGCTCGATACAGTTTTTCAGGGTCAATATCTCCCAAGTTTGAGCATAAACTACGTCGCCAAAAACAAAGTTTTGGAAAAATTGCCACCACAGTTGTATTAGATAAAGATGAAAATTTGTTATGATCATGGCTGCAACGGCATCGGAGTTATCATAGCAACGAAATGACGCTATTACCTATTTTACTTCCAGCAGTATATCTCGGCACTGGGAACTGTTCTTCGAAAATCATTGACGGGAGCTTTTTCCTCCAATAGCAGCCTCGATGTTGGTGAAGTTTAAGCGAAATCTGTAAGAGCGTTATCGAGATATTTTGGGATAAAGTTTTTATTGTTAGAAACACATCAAAAAATGGACAATATTGTTGTTTGGCCGTTATCTGTAGAAAATGAAGCGCTTTCGACATGAAATCTCACCTCATAGTAGTTTCAATCTTTTAAAAAGCGTGTGTGAAAGATCATAGGAGATAGCTCCAGCCGATTGCTAGAAAGAAGGGTTTGATTAGTATGTATCGAAGCGCTCTTGTTAGCGGTTTTGTAAACATTTTGGTCTACTTTAACAAATTAGCGAATAATTTTTAAACCGCTCGATAGATTTTTTTAAAAATTTAAGATTCTTGAGATTAACCTTCCTTTTATATGACCTTTTAGTTTCAAGATTATTGATACATTCTAAAGTATGAGGTGAAACTTCATGTCAAAAGCGCTTCGTTTTCTACAGATAACAGCCGAACACCAAGATTGTCCATTTTTTACCGTATTTCTAGCCACAAAATCTTTATCCCAAAATATTTCGATAACGCTCTTACAGATTTCGCTTAAACTTCACCAACATCGAGGCTGCTATTGGAGGAAAAAGCTCCCGTCAATGATTTTCCAAGAACAGTTCTCAGTGCTGAGATATACTGCTGCAAGTAAAATAGGTAATAGCGTCATTTCGTTGCTATGACAACTCCGATACCGTTGCAACCCCGATCATAACAAATTTTCATCTTTATCTAATACAACTGTGGTGGCAATTTTTCCAAAACTTTGTTTTTGGCGATGTAGTTTATGTTCAAACTTGGGAGGTATTGACCCTGAAAAACTGTATCGAGCCACCTTAAGAAATAACTTGAGGAGTTTGATTATTAATTATATCCATTTTGAAATCACTGGTGATCCCGGTAATCTGATTGGCTCTCAGCAGTGTAGTTTATTCACAAATCACTCTATTTTTTTGCTCTAAATCACATCTGTTCTAAATCATGTCATTTTTGTTTTAAATCGCAGCATTTTCGTTCTATATCGCATCATTTCTGTTTCAAATACAAAATGAGATGTAAAAGCCTTTTTGTTTCCGTTTTTCAACAAACTGGTTACTAGTTCGTTAAAGTATTGGTTCTGCGATTTCAAAATGGCTATAATAAAGTGGTAATTGAAATTCGTGTCGAGAAATTTTGGTCGGAAATCATACTTGTGATTTCAAATCGAACTCGCGCTGCGTGCTGCGCGCTCGGCGTTCGATTTTGAAATCACGCGTATGATATTAGACCAAATTGCATTCCGCTTAGTGCAATTACCATTATGAATTACAAAGGGTACAGTAGCCCTTGCAGCCATTTTTGGTTATATACTACTGATTCGCTCGCGTGAGTATTTATTTTGAAAATTGAAAATCTGACCGCCTTAAGTTGTAGGATGAGTAATGTTCCTCAAGAATATCACAAATACTCGGAGGGCTTAGATTGTTGTATGTATTTAAAATATCCATATTTCCTATAGAGACCCATTGCATATGCATTGCGCCCGTAATATATATTTGTAAGCAACTTTGCTCTCTCTAGCTACCATAAACTGTCCTAAGACAGCGTTCCTGGGTAAGACCTAGTTAACAATTCACCTACGTATTTGGGTACGAGACAGTTTGTAAAAAGACCGTATACTTTATCATTTTGACAGTTTTATAGTCCGGTGATTCTTGGACGAAGTTCCTCTGTATTGTTCAATAATTTAATATTGCTTTTATTATTGTGACTCTTATTGCAAAGTTTAAGGTTTGAAATAAACTATCCATCTCTATCTTGTTCATTTTCCTCCATCGCCAGAACACGTTCGCTTAATGGGTAGCTAAGTCCGAGCAGTTTCCAACGGTAGCGTTGCCAATACATGGTGCTTTATTTTGTTGTCATGTGCATGTTTTTTTGTTAAAGCTTTCAAAAAAAACCTGGATTCTATCGTAAGTTACGGAATCATTCACTGCGGTTAATTTTTTACATTAAGCGTAAGAATTCGCTGTACTTTTAATTATAGCTATGCACTCTTGACTGTAGTGAACGACGCAAATGGGACTTTTTTAATTTTATTTTTACTTGTAAGATTTTTTAATTATCTGGGTGCGCTCAAAAATGTTATTAAAACCGAAAGACGAATTAAAATTAGGTTTAAATTGCCTTAAGGATTTATATGCCACACCTGCAGATAGCGGGCGACGAACGGGGTTTTTTGGATGGAATGCCAGCTTGCCTTGTGAGCATATACATAATAAAGATACATCTTGGCAGATATGATCTTTGACGAAGAACAGGATTTTGGAACGTTTTCAAACTGAACGAGCGAGCGCTTGTTGGGAAAATCCGTAAGTTTAGACACCATAAGGTACTGTAACCAGTTGAAGTTACCAGATGCCGTCTCCAGGGAGACATCTTGAGTCACACGAAGCATGTAAACAGTTCCTCGGCCAGTTTTCCAAGTTGTTCCTGGGGCAACTAACGCCACCACCATAATCCCAGTTACCACGCCAATCATCTGTTTTATGTTGGGGATAAAAATGGTAAAAAAAAACCGGCGAGTTTTGATACTGCACAAAGTGCAAATCAACATATTCGAGTAACAGAAGCTAAAAAACAATGATACACATCGCGCTCTCTTTTTATAAAAGAATATTTATAAAATTATCGAGGGTGAAATTTGCGGAATTTTAAGAATATCTTAAGAATAAACCTCAGGCTGCGATTTCGAAAAGGAAATAATTTTGTGTGTTCAAATCTGTAAATACAATATAATAATATGTTTTATCTTATTCCTTTCTCTAAAAGGCAAAACTAGCCAACAAAACGAAAAACCCTGAACTAAATATAATTCATTATAGGCCAATAATTATACTGTACTAAAACGGAGATGTCATAAGCTATAATTCACGAATAATACAACATATTTTCCGCCTAAAATAGGAATAAAAATAAGAATATTCAGCCTGGGCCAGAAAACAACATTCTTATAAACGAAGAATGTACAATGGCAAGAAAACGAATCAAACGACACGCAAAATCAGTCAGGTTTTCCCTCGCGCAGGCTTCCGGTTGTGTACTTAGACAGATGAGGAATGATTGAAATTAATGCAAGTGCAAATTATTGAAAATATTAATTTTGCAACTTCAGTCAGCTATTACTAAGCGGTAGGGCCAATTGAAATCCTTAAATTACTTTTACAATTGTGCCGCTTGTGGAAACGTACCTTTAGAATTAACAACTGTGTAACCACATGAAGTTTTGTAAGAGGGCAAGTCGAAAGTTCTTAAGATTCGGATTGTTATAAGGGCCTTTTTATAAACACACACAGTCTACCCTAAGGGGAAATTTAAGTCTTCGTGTGTTTCTAACAATCGCTTATTATTAAGGTGTATAACAAAGGCGATAAAGGACTTGTAAAAACTTGCTGAAAAGACTTTGGGGTATTACCTTTACCTGACGGCCGCCCGCATGAACAATGAACACATTCCGAGACACACTCTTAGTCCATCAGATAAATTTACTAATGAAGAAATATTCATGGGAAATAAAAAAATAATAATAACAGTCTTTCTAGAAATCATTTTTTTAAATTCTACATATAAATTGATTCCTTCGAGCCCAATAAGTTGTTGATATAATGTGGAAATTATTTTATTTGAGAAAATTAATATGTAATGCAACGGGACTTTTCCCAGGAAATAAAGCACATGATCGTCAACAGATATCTTGACATGATAATAATTCGGCGCTGTGATAAAAAATACTAATTTTAAACTTTTACAAAAAACACAAAAACAATGTTTACTAGGACAATAAAGGTTTGACCAAACTACGTTGGCGCGATCTTATAAAATGCCCGACTCTTTTCACACAGATTTGAAGAAAAAAAGGGCTCTTTACTGATAAATAATACAAGCCTATTTTTTCGTCAACCAAACTAGTAAAATAGAAGAAAGAGCGTAGGGTACCTAATAAACCAGCAAGGTTTCTTTATCCTCCTCCCGATGTATAGAAAAATGTCAACTGCTTATGTCTTGTTTAGTCTGTGAAAATCCAAGAAATTTACAATGAATGGTACGACTGCTTTGCAAGTTATATTAGTTATTTAAATTAGAAGAGGAAAATGTATTCATATTAGAGGAAAACATAAACGTCTTGGTTAGTATGTTAGAGAGAAATTTGATCAGAAAATGTTCTATCAACTGTACGATATGAATCAATTTTGGCTAAAAAAGATAATCGACAAACCATTATATAAAGAATAAATTAAACTGATAATTTTTAAGACAACGCAATGTTGCTTCGCATGAAATCGGTTGCGAATACATAGGACCCACTTTTTCGAATAGTTCAAAAAGGGGCCATTTTGATTCACGCTAGAAGAAAAAACACAAAAGACTTGGATATCCACAGACTTCGATAAATTGTCTAACATCCTACGCGGGGAAAAGTGCTGAAAAAGGTTTCCATTTCCAGAGACGAGGCCTTAAAAAAAAAACACGAGTAGTTGAAGGGAGGTCGCACGATTAACTTGAGGAATTGGGACAAACACTGTATTAAGAAAAAAGGCTTACTGCAATTTGCGAAAGGAAATGAAAATCTGTATTTGCGAAATCTGCAAATTGCGAAGTGAAAATCTGTATTTTGCGACATCTGTAATTTTTTCCTCTCTCACGATGTGCCTGACCTAAGAACAATAAAATAACAATGAGACCATATACATGTATGTTCATCCATTTTTGTGAGCTTGATTATGTTTACTGAACTTATGTGATGTGGTCATTGAACGATAAAGGGTAATTCAACACATGACACAGACAGTGTGTTGACCAATAATTTCATATAGTATATACTAAAACAGTGGATAGTGTTTTTTGCGCTTTTTGATTCACCACTCGATCAATCAGTGAATATCCTCCACTATTCACTGATGCACCTGCAGTTCCTCCGAGCGAGCGACGCCAAACTAGCGTAAGTTGCGAGCAAAAATGCCTTCCCAGTTTGCTGCCGTAACAAACAAAGAAATTTCACAACTAATCAAGCAAGCTGTTCCCGAAATACACGAAGAAGGTGACGAAGTTCGGTTTGGAAGTTTTAACAGGTAAAGCTTTGTCTTTTTGACTTGAATTTATCGATAAAACCGGTGGAAAAGTTTTTTGTTTACAAATGCAAATTAAGCTTAAGTCTTGCGTTACTTTATTCAGTTGACTAGTTCATAAACAGGCTTAAAACTAAAACTTTGTAATCCTTTTTTACAGAATGATTTTAAATACAAAAACAATTCACAACTCCTTTGAAGAAATTTCCCAGCAAGAGCTAAACAAATGCCTTCAAAAGTTTTGTTTGTCGGCAAGAAAAAGCGACGACCGCGGCCGTTTGGTCCTTGCTCGCCAAAATTGTAATCGTTGGCAACAATATTTGAGTTAAAAATCATCATTTTTGTGCTCGATTATCTCACTGTTTTAGTATATACTAAAACAATTATTCACTTCAGTGTCGATCGTCGGTGGCTAGTGGTGGATTATTTGCCTCGCCGATTCGCGGTCTCCCCAAGTATCACCACAAGCCACCTCCACTTCAGTGAATAATTGCTATACTCTAATCAAACTGAAACGATTATAAAATATTTTGTAAAGTAATCTAAATAATCACAAAACACAGAATAGAAGCGGGCATCTCATTCATTGATGTCCGCGTTCGAATAGGCTGTGTGTTTGCCAATAATTTTATTTTATGAATGAGATTTCGAATTATAATTCATTATCGATAGTTTTGTTTGTTGTTAATACAGACTTAAACCCCGAGCGAGACAATGTATTTGATGGGAAACGATAAGAACAAGCTTAAAATTAAGGTCGTCAGTCATAAAAGAGCAGTTTCATCGAAAAGAACCAACAACAACCAAACAATTTAAGCTTACTAAATATAGTATTTTGCAGAACGTACCAGAACCCTGAAGATATGGTTTGTATTCAATAAAAAATACCAACTATTAAAATTCCGTTCAAGCCAGTGTTAGTATAAAAGTATTACAGAAAGTTTAAACTATTTAAACTTGAGCTTATTATCAATGGTGAAATATATATAGCAATTAATAAATGAGGTTCAGTAGGATAATGAAGAATTATGCAGATCGAGGAGGGTGTTATCAGGCGGCCAAGGGGGATAACACCCTTCGAGATCGGCATAATTATTTTTAGTATATATAAGTAAGATAGTACGCCCGTTCTGATTGGTTAAAAACCTATCGTTTATTGTGCCGGTAAACTCATAGAAAACTGAAACATTTTCCGTTTTGCTTAAAGTTATTGTGTAAAAGCAGGAGACCACACTTTCTATGGGTTTACCAGCGTGATAGCCCATTGGGATGTTGGGAGAATACTCGAAAAGCTTGTAAAACGCTCGCCTTCGGCTCACGATTAACAAGCTTTTCTCGTGTTCTTCCAACATCCCGCGTGGGTTACCACGCCGGTAAACCCATAGAAAGTTTGGTTTATTGCTTAAATAAAACAGCGGATAGTGTTGTTCGCGCGCTCTGATTCGATCGCTACTCAATCAGTGAATATCCTGCACTATGCTATCTATTGTTTACATTTTCATTTAACTGTAAACCACTTATGTAAATTTAAATTTAAATCAAGGACCGTTCAAGCATTTTCTTTAAGACCCTGTTTACATGGAGTGGGGGACTCCGGTCTAGTGGGGTAGGTTTCTTTTGTTTTGTGTCCCCAGAGCGTGAAAACAAAAGAAACCAACCCCACTAGACCGGGGTCCCCCACTCCATGTAAACAGGCCCTAAGTATAGCCATGGCCCTGATTAAACACACCTTATTCGATGGTTTAGCATATAATACGTGCGGATATTTTGCGAGTTGCGTAGTATTTTTCAGAGCCGCGCAGGGGCGAGGAAAAATACGAGCAATGAGCAAAATGTCCGCTCGTATTATATGCTAAACCATCGAATAAGAGGTTTATTATTCCACTACAAAAAAAAAAATTATCTGGCAATCGGCTTCTATTTTTTGGTAAGAGTATTCAGAGACATCCTGATTCTGTCTGTGAGAATGACGTTAACAATTAGCAAAATGTTCGCGCGTATTATATGCCAAACCATTGAATGAGAGGTTAATTATTTTACTGCAAAAGAAAAATGGTATTTTGGCTTCTATTTTCTAATGAGAGTATCCAAAACATCCTGATTCTGTCAGCCACAGTTGCTCCTTTTGCATCCGCCGGTATTCGCCCTGTTGTAAACCGGTTAAACCAGGACACTACGGTGTATTACGGCCTCGTATTTTGCTTGTTCTCTTGACCTTATATGGTAAAATGACATAATAGTGGAATAATAAGGCCGCTTATCCTGTTAAACGAAACATCGGGCCTCCAACAAATTAACCCTTTTGCCCTATGATCAGCCTTGCATTCATTTCATTTAGTCCATTGGCACAATTAAGACTCGATACCATTACATGTATTTTATTTTTCTGGCTTTTAAAATTATTCCATTAAATCTTCTATACTTTCGATATGTCTATGCAAGTGTAAATGTGCAAAGTAACGTTTAATTAATAGAATAGAATAAGATATCAAATCTCCTACATATACCTTCAGGACTATTTATCCCTACCTATAGTACTAGTAAACCCATGTATCACTGAATCAGAAAATCACTTTCAGAAAATATTCTACATTACATCAATTGAAGAGTTCTTGTTATTTTGTTATATTTTGTGTACAATCTTGGAACGAAAATAACACCAGAATAAGAAGCCAAAAGAAAAGAAAATTTAAAGAGAACAAGGAAAGAAGGAAAGAAAGTGTAAGGAGAAACGCAGTGGTGGCATAATTTTGATTTTTTGTAATGGCTACTCTGAAGATAGTTTTCAGTGTACAGTGAAACCTGTATTAATTAATATAAGCGGACACCGTATTAAGCGGACACCCTCTATTAAGCCGACAGAAGCCGAAGTCCCCAAAATTATTTTCCTATTTACTTTAAATGAAACCTTTATTAAGCGGACACCTCTATTAAGCGGACGCGGACACCTAAAAAGTACCTGAAATGGTCATTTCTATTGTTTCCAACCTGTATTAAACGGACTCTTGTAATTAAATTCCATCACCCAACATGCCAGACACCGGAAATGCAAAAGACTGCCAACCACAAATTTTCATTTTTTTACCTTAAAAAACGCGACTAGACGAACTTATTTGATTAGTTTCACAGTACAGTTATGCTTTCTATTTCGTTTTGTTTGTATAGAGCTTGTTTCACTCATCTGATTTCTTCAAATTTGAGTTGCAATCTATGTTTATGGTACTTTGAACAACTGGTCCACTTAAATAAAGAAATTAATGCAAAAGTATATCGTCATAGTCTCTGGGAGTATTCTAAATGTTTCCACTGTTCATTTGAATGGCATTTGACACCTCATATGACGCTATCTATTGAAACCTGTATTAGGCGGACACTACAGCATTCCCCGAGGGTGTCCGCTTAATACAGGTTTCACTGTATTACAAAAAGTGGTTAGTAGTACGGCCATTAAAGAATCCAGTAGGCGATTCTCCAAAACAAGCGGGTTCGGGACCAATGACCTAAAAAGCTGTATGCTAGTCCAAATTTACACCTTTGGAAAAACTGACAAAATTCTTTGGGATAATCTAGCTGAATTTTTGAAAACGTAGCTACCGAAAATGGGTTCTTTGCAGCTTTACTGTCAGATGGTAACAAAAAACTCCTTGCTGGGATGCAAACAGCGCAGATGGATCTTGAAAAGGAAGGAAATTACCATTTTTATCTATGTGCCAAGACTCCTTTGTCTTTCTTGCCCCACTGCGTTTGCGTCGTTTGCGTCGGCCAGCAGGACACGCGTGCAAAACGTCTGAGCATGCGCAAGGTCTCTATTTTAAGTAATTAAAATTTGCAAAATCTTCCTCATTTAAATTGAAAAACACTTAGGAATGTTTGATATGTTTAATGGTTTGCAGCCGGTTCTAGTATTAAGCACAACAAAAAATTACTTAAACTAACTTAACTAACTAACTGGTAAAGTCGTCCAGTGCAAGGTTTTTCCGTCCTTCTTTTTCCACTTGGCATGCATTGGTCGTTTTCGTTGTCCGCATTGACCGAGCTCAGCGACATGATGACCAAAACAGCAACAATGGCTACGGCGAAGTGCTGCCAGAGCGAGCGTGGACTTTCAAACATGATTTTCGCCTTTGGTGCAAGGAGGAAAGTATGTGGTGCAAAAGAGAGCAACTAAAGCAATTAATAAACTTTGTGTTCGTGAAATTCTAAGCTTATCTTTTGTGTGTGGAGCTTACTTTTTTGAATTTCGCGGCCGGAATCTAGTTTGTTTTGGTATCGCGTATAATTTCGATTGGGGCAGGCACTGGCAAATTCGCGCCGGAAGCAGGGAAGGCACGCATGCGCACTGCGTTTTTCACGCGTGTCGGCTAGCAGAGTGTTATTGTACCACGTGATTGTTTAGCTGCAAAAGGGCCAATTTATAGCCATTCGGCCTGTCTAAAGCCAAATAACGAGTTTTCTGGATCGAGCTAGCCAAAAATTCACATCAAAATTAGTAAAATCTTGGAACGCAGTATGCTTAAGGATTCATTAACCGACCGTATATGTTTCAAACGACTGGCAATAAGAGGGATTGCAGGTAACCTCCTGTAAGTTCCTGAAAATGGTTCCTACAAGACGTCTGATTAATTTGAAATACCCAACATGTGAAAAATACAAAATCTCTGAGGGTAGTAGTATAAACATATAATAGCATGATTTGTACGTGATATTGGGCATAAATAACACTCGTGATATTTCAAACTTAATTTTCTCAAATTTCACTCACCTAACGGTTCGTGAAATTTCGTATAACAATTTCTAAATATCACTCGTGATCAGTAGTTTATGCAAAATATCACTACAAATCATGCAAATTCGTTTTGAGCTTGTAATTGAAGTATGATGCAAGCTTTACTAATGCCCTGATAGAATTTTTACTGTCATCTACAGGCCCGTAACCAGGATTTTATGTGGGGGGGTGCTAACGAGGCCAAAGTGGACCAAACTACCGAAATATATTTTTTATTGTCGATCGGTTAATAAACAATGCGGAATTGTTAAGAAAGTACACATCGGCTTTTCATAGAATATTGTCATGACATCAGGAGATGGCGATAAGAGACGAAGAGAAACATAAAATGTATTTTCCCTCTTTGTGTCTCGAAAACTTCTATTTTGATGGTTTGGGATACCTGTGGACTGCTGCTTTCGATTAACCCTCCCAGTCCCTCTCCGAATTGTTACTCTGTGTTCCCTCACTGGCGTTTGTTTCATATAGAGGAATAGCGTCTAAATCTCAGAGCATAATAATGGGATCAAGACTGGTGGACATTGCAAAAATAAGTATGATTACTGCACCCCGTGCACCCCCCTGGTTACGGGCCTGATCTACTCGATTATTCTACAAAGCAGCCTTTCAGAAAAATAACTTCTCTCCATTCATCCTTTTTTACCCTGCGAACGCAGATGTATTTCCGGTCGTCGCTTCTCTCGGATGAAGGGTGAAGAGAGGCGACCACCGGAAATACGTCTGTTTTTACAGGCTAGCTTTTTTTAGAACAGTATTAAGAATCAATGGGATCAATTTTAACTTGAATAAACAAGGTGTCATCAACAACGTAACGAAACAAACTTAAATTACTGTGCGAAATAAATCTTGCTATCCCGTGTGATTCGTCGACTTCTTCTGCTAAGGGCCTGCCAGTTGAAAAAGTGACATATAAAGACCCCACAACGTTAAACCTACTAGAAAGTTGATCTTTTTGATCTATTAACGTAAATGTGACTTTTTGACGAAAAGGCCAAGGCAGCATACCGTCAAAACCGCCTTTCATAAGAAGAATGTATACTGAAAGATACCTGTTTCTCTTTGACTGATTACCATCTGGCTCAATACAAAGTCTTAGCTTATACCCTCGTCTTCCTGCATAGAAAGGCTCACTCTTTATCCTTTTATTACGTTCACTCTTTGCTTGTCTCAAGATCTTCCAAAATTCAGTCACCTTCCATACGAAGGACGAGGATTCTTCATTCAATCTCGCAATTGTCTTGCTTTGTTCATCCACTTTCATCCTGAGAGTAGAATTGGTAACTGTCAGTTCTTGTACTTGCTTCTGAAGAGAGTCGAGTTTTTCTGTTGCTGCTTTTAGATTTTTAAGTGTTAATTCGCTGTGAAGTGTCGTTGATGTCTGAAGGTGATCTTCCACTTCTTTTCGCTGAATCTGCATCAGAAAAAATATAACTTCCAGTTATTATCTTTGCGTGTGAATATTGATTTGTGATTTTTTATGCCTTCTAACGAATAGTTTTGAGCAATTTGTCTCAAAGATTTCAAGTTTTATGTTGTTACCATGATTCATCTTGTTTACGTAAATTCTCTTAAAGTTATGACTATTTGCAGCTTCTATCAGTTTTATGAAAATTAGGCTTTGCGTTATGCGTTAACATGCTTGAGCTCTCAATTGTTTAAGTTCCAGTCAAATTCTTGTCTGTCTGTTCTTCGCCAAAGATTATTTTTAACCGTTTTCACATGCTAGAATTTTAACATTCAGAACATTACGAAAAACCACGCCACTTTTAATGGACTTACATCGATGAAAAATACCTGGAAACAACAACGTTTGATTTTCAAGCAGCACGAAGTATTTCTGACACCACCCCTAAATCGAGTTAAGTGAATTTATAAGCGATTTTCTCACGGCTGCATGTTAGATTCCCCAAGTCCGCTATCTTAAGAAATCGCTTTCAATGAAAAGGGAGCGTTGTACATCTGATTACTCTAGTTTGAAACTGGGCACTGACTTACACACAGTACTGACAGTTTACCTTTGCGTCGCATCCTATCTGAGAATATGGACAGGAGATCAATGTCAGCGGACATTTGTTGTCAATATGAGCTGCTATCTAAAACGGCAATGGCCAATAGGCTGTTCTTAGTACCTTCAATACATACAGAATATCAAAATAATAGGGAAAACGACTTAAATCACTTAGTTTACAATTATTCACCGAAGTGGAGGTGGCTAGTATTGGTTATTTACCGAGGCCCCGAAGCGGCGAGGTAAATATCCAATACTAACCACCGACACTGAGGTGAATAATTGTTTTAGTATATACTAAAACAGTGAGATAATTGAGCACAAAATGATGATTTTTAACTCATTTACTTTTGCCAACAATTACAATTTTGGCGCGCGATGACCGAACGGCCGCGGTCGTCGCTTTTTCTTAGCGACAAATAAAACTTTTGAAGGCGTTTGTTTAGCTCTTGCGGGGAAGTTTCTTCAAAATTAAAGGAGTTGTGAATTCTGTTTGTGTTTAAAATAATTCTGTAAAAAAGATTATTAAATTTAGTGTTAAGCTTATTTGCGAACAAGTCAACTAAATAAAGTAACGCAAGACTTAAGCTTAATTTGCACTTGTAAACAAAAAACTTTTTCACCGGTTTTATCGATAACTATTCAAGTCAAAAAGACAGAGCTTTACCTGTTAAAACTTCCAAACCGAACTTCGTCACCTTCTTCATGTATTTCGGAAATAGCGTGCTTGATTAGTTGTGAAATTTCTTAGTTTGTTACGGCAGCAAACCGGGAAAGCATTTTGCTCCCAACCTACGCCATTTTGTCATCGCTCGCTCGGAGGAACTGAAGGTGAATCAGTGAATAGTGCAGGATATCCACTGATTGAGTAGCCAATCAGAGCGCGCGAAAAACACTATCCACTGTTTTAGTATATACTAAAGAGGTATATTCGCCGCTATGAAAATGAAGCTGGAGTTCTTGTAAAGAGGGTGGATCGCAGATATCTCTTGATATGAAAATATTGAAGAGGAAAAAAAAATCCCACAAAGTACACTGCATGTTCTTTAGAGGCATTTGATACTATGACAATATGCTGCTTATTTAGTGACTGCCGTAAGCATCCCTACAACAAAGATAACGATCTTCTAGCAGTAATATATGAAGCCGAGTGGTTTTCTCTTCGAAAAAAATGGCGGCAATATTACTTTTCTTTTGTATTTTATACGTGCGGTGTATATGGATCAAATTTGCCTCAATTGCATCTGCAGAAATCAAAAGACCCTTTACCTTGAAACAAGTCAACGCTTGAGGGCAAATTACCATGTAGATAATTGGATAACTAACGAACTTAAAAGGGTACGTTCGACCGTTAATATTCCAGAATAGAATACGCAAAAGTTTTGTTACAAATCTCGTTCACCTGGATTTTTGGACCATGCAAAGGAATTATTTATTTGGAGCAGACATCTAAATGTTGAAATACAATGAATGACAAAATAAGTGTTTTCTTGAGTAAATTTCATTAATTCTTATTCCGGAATACAGTAAAACGAACACGCCCCAAGTTCGCCAATATTTTGGAACAAGACGGTATGAACGATGATTGTGAGCATTGAAAACTGTGCAAACCCACGATACCTCCTCCCTAGCAAGCAATTCACCACAACCGTTTAGGCATTCTTCAGGTTTCCTCTTGCAATTATCAGCATGTTCCTACGGATACAAACCATTTTTTAAATATATCTCACGAATTTGACTACCGCTGAATTCCAATACCTAATAGCAGGACTCCCATACTGGCACCAACAGGGGGCGTTGCTGCCTTTCAGCAAATTGAAAAAAATGTGGGTTAAAATAAACTCAAGTAATCGCTCTTTAACAGGGCGTGAAAATGCATCTAAAACACCAATATCTATCGCGGTCATGTGCATGTCGATTGGGTGCTGGCACTAATTCTACATAAACGTATCTGCTTGGTCTTCAAGTATAGATACATTATTGTTAAGGGGTCCCCTTTTTTACTTTGATTAGCTGCTAGAATCAATTGACAATCTCGTGATTACGAGGGTCTCAGTTCTTAAATAACATACAGTGAACCGTTTTTTATTTTTTGTTTTTGTTTTTCGCTGGGGACAAACTTCATAGAATAGGCCTTTCTAGCTTGTATTTTTTTGTTTTCCCATTTTTAGACCACGTAATGGTACTCCAGAGAACTGATTCTTTCAAATCTCGTCTTATGCATGTGCATCCACGTGAATATGTGTGAAGGCAAACTCCTTGGAGAACATGTGGTCTGAATTGGGAAAACAAAACAAACAAGCTAAAAAGGTCTATTAATTACCATTTTGAAATATTTCAAGTAGCCAAAGAATTGAAAAACACTTATTATGGTCAGATATTCTACCAAGATGCTGAATATGACAATAACGCAGCCTTTTTTTAAGCAAAAAGGAACCGTGCTTTAATTGTTTATAGGTCAGCGTTAATTTGTCTTTCCACTTAGTCCTCACTCCCCTCTCTCGCCCTTTCAGGGATAGCTGACTACGCCCTTCTCAACTATCATAAAGACCTGCCCATGCTAACAGACCATGTGTACCACGATTATACAGAAAAAAGGAGCTATTAATAATGTATATTGTAGCTTTATGTCCATGGGATGGCCATGTTTATTACGAATATTTTTATATCTGTATACTTCTTAATACCATGCATTTGTGTAAACTCTTTATCATTAAAACGTACTTGGAGCAAACACTTCGGATGTGGCTCACTACAGTGATCACAGGTTACCATCCTCCACTCACACACGGTGGCCACGTGTTCATCCATTTTTTGTCTGGTTGTTTTTACAGCACAGTTCACATTTGGGCAAGATATAAGTTTGAAAGAGCAAGATAATAGGTGATCCTGATAAAAACCAAACATAGATATTCGTTTGACAGTAGCAGTAATCATAGGTGCAATCTCGCTAACTTGCTAGGCCATTTTGGGGTCAATAGTCCTTTTTAGCTTGTATCCAATTTTGTTTTCCTACCACATAATATGTGATGTTACCCCTAAGAACTCAGTGTTTCTTTCACAAGTTGTCCTAAACACATGCATATGTATGCATAACTAATGAAATGACAAAAGCCAAATACCCTTGGAAACATTACATGGTGTGTATTTGAAAATATAACACACAAGCCTAAATTTTGGTGAAGGTCCAAGAATAGAAAGGTGATGGTGAAGAAAGTCAATACACTGATGTTGGTTATGGAGAAACAAGCGAATTTAATAATTGAGGTAGAGCAACAGGAAAGTGGTAGCGTTGGTGTTTGTGAAAGTGATGAAAGAGTAAGTGAGAAGCTAGCTGTAGTTGAATATCACCTCTTTTTCCCTCAGTTCTCCAGTCCATTCACATCCAGTACTTGAGCATTTTATACAAAGGGAGAGGATCTTCCTTTCAGTGGCTCTGTCGGGGAAAATATCCTGTGTAATGAAAGCAGTGGAAATATTGCATAGTGGCATTGATATGTAAGGTTTATTCTTTGAGGAACTTCTCACCGCTGTCAAGGCAGTAAAAGGTCAACCAACAGTCTTTGCTTTTGAATTGGAAAACAATTGTATCAACTACAGGTCATAGAAGACTAGGTTGCTTGAAATCGATGTAAACGTCAAGTAAATGGCTGAAAAATAACCTTGGGTATCAGAAGATACTTGAAACTCTGTTTACTCAATGGCGTTTACGACGATTATCTGTGCGTCAAATTACATTGTAGATGAACAGACCTGAACAAGCGAACCTAGAGTCTAATATTGTCACGCTGTCAAGAGTCCATTTTCGGATTTTTCGTTTTGTTCGAGGTAACGAAGCCAAGTTTTGACATAAACAATCCAGTCTTGGATTCCCTCAAATAAACATGCCCTTCTTTTTAATTGTTCTGCAGCGGTCGACACAGTTCTTACAATTGACTGATTGACTTTAATTTCTAGTGCTCTGTTAGAACGGTTGAAACAAAAATCAAGTTGAAGTGTTTTTTCCCTTGCAAAAGTATTGGATTTGCAGAAAAACACAGGAGGATAAAAATTAAATTAAAAAAATGGCAATATGTATAACTGAAAACCATTGGTGTACTAATTTACCTTATCACAATCGAGTTCCTCTCTATCAACAGGGCAGTTACAAACACTTTGTTGACATTCTTGCCTAATAAAATAAAAGTGACCAATATATGTTGTCTTGACATCTTTAATTCTGGATAAGGGAAACTTAAATCGCTAAAAGTGCTTCAAACAGCTCCACGGAGTGTAACACTGTTGGGAAATTTTTACAGCTTTTCAGAGAGAGGGTAAGAGGCGGCCAATGGTACAAGATTCACAAATCAGAATAAAGAAAAATCGATTCAGTAGCCTCCTGCCTAGGTGTTCTCGGCTTGGTTAATCTGGACTTTATCGTGAGTTGTGACGTCAACGAGAGAGACTCGCCGAGACGCCACGTTCTCTCGCCTGCTCTTTCCCAGACTTCGCGCGGACAATGGGTCAAGAGAGAACGCCTAGGGTCTAGGCTGCGAATTTGGATAAAATCAAATTTTGCGACAGATTACTACTTTCTTTACCAGCTGAATTACTCTAAAACCACGTAAGGTTGTTATGTCAGTATTAAAATAACGCGATACATGCCAATCGGTCGCCTCTTGTGTCATGAGTTAAACTTTTTACAGGTCGATATGAAGCTTTGAAACTAATTCCATGATGTGGATTCTGTACCGAGTGGAATTAAAAACAGTTAGTTTCGCCATTTTTCTCCTTATGTAGCCGAGATAAGAGAATAATTACTGAGCCGGACCGTTTGATTTCAACTGAACGTACCGCAGTATTGGTTGGGAAAAATAACCTGACCAATAGCGTGGCCTTTGATTATGTCCGGCGTAACCAATCAAACGTTCGGTAATCGAACCCAATCGAACTCCAATCGTTCGTTTGACTTCGATTTGGTTCGGTAATCGAACTTAATCGAACTCATTCAAAACCTTTGCCGATCGAACATTAAAACAAACATGAGGGCAGGAGACGTAAAATTAACAATTCTGGAAGCGATGGTTAAAGGCTAAAACGAGTGCTCTTTCGTCGTCAGTGTCGGTGAAAAGTTTATTATTACAAAGAAAAGGGGAGTAGGGGTCCAGCTCTGAAAGTAATTAACTGACGACGATCGCGGCCAACTCGGACATTTGCAACAAGAACTGGTACTTGTGCTTGCGTGTTTCCCAGTATCAATTGTGAATTTATCGATTTTAAATCACTTTAAAAATAAAGATTTTAGTTCGGGTTAATTGAAATATGTTTGTTTTCAAACTTCCTCAGACACGCAGAGGGAGATTTCTCCGATTCAATTCATTGAAACTGGATGTATTCTTATTATTGAGGTGTCCATACCAGAGACATGTCTGCAAGGACAGAGTTGGCTGTAGCTCCAACCAATTAACATTTGTGACTACAAGTTAAGCGAAGAGCAAACATGTATGTAAATCATTTTTTTAATATATGTTCAAAATGAAGGTTTGTACTGGTCCAAACAAGGTTAAACCAAGCTTCGCTTCCGCTCAAAAGATAGCTCGGAAATAATTTATTATGTTATGTGAAAAGTGCTCAAAATCTCTCTTTTCCGTTTAAATATTGGAACATTCCTGGAGCAGATGAATGATTTAAACGAGTTTGCTATTTCTAGTGACCGGTCTAACCACCGTCAAAGCCGCGTGTTAATTACGAATGTTTCCATCTTAAGCAGTTTGTTATTTTCTTTTTTTAATTCCCTTAGAGAAGTTCTGTTAGCTTAAATGTGTTGATAAAGTGGCATTCCTAACAAAGCAGCACCGTTAAACTGGTTATTGTCTCAGTAATTGTAAATAATGAATATATACGGAATCTGGCTCAGCTTCCTGTTTCGGTGAAGATCAGTAAATTATATTGGTTGTCTTTACACTAGGCTGTTAGGTAAGACTTATTTTACTTAACCAAAACTTCGTGTGTGAAGGCCTAAGTAAAATCTCAAGTAACTTTACTTTGCATCTCATTAAAGTCGGAAAGTTGAAACGACTCAAGAAAGTTTCAAGCGCCTTGAAAATCATCCTTAAAACCGACTTAGCTGACTTGCGGTTACTTGCGGTTTCTTGAGCTTTGAGAAAGGCGAAACATGTCAATCAATCTTAATTATATTGCGTGGGAAAATAGCCTTCTGTTAACCTGAAGTAAAAAAGAATCGGTTGTGTGTGAAGCTTTAGTTTACTTGAAGTAATTAACATTTACTTATCTTGAAATATTTCTTAGCTTATTTAGGCTCTCGTGTAAAGACTACCATTGTCTAATAAAAGACAAATCAAAGCTTATATTTTCCTTATTTCTAAGACACGGACCTATAATATACAACTTTTTGCATTCAGTTCATCAAATACATTTACCTATTTGACATATGCTGCTCTAGGCACCCTCTGCAAAATCTGTGACCACATCTAGTAAGAACCGGATTTCGCAACGTTAGTTGGCAAATTGAACATTGCAAATCGTCGTCAACAGGATTTACAAAGTCTTCTTCATGGCCACAAGGCAAGTCAGCGAGTTTTTCCACTGCCTCACGTAAAACGTTGGTTCTTATCATGTCCGCTCAAAACTATGTCGTCTCGCAAAGCATTGTAGATCTAAAATGTAAAGGCATACTGTATTTCGTGGACTGGATTGGACTGGACTGGACTGGACTAGTAAAACGCGGACTGGTAAAACGCAGAGTGGTAAAACGCGGACTGGTAAAACACGGACTAGTAAAACGCGGACTTGTAAAACGCGACTCAGTCAATGTTTTATTGCTGCCACCTTTTCGTTTTCTTGTTCCAACTTTTTGACCTGCGTTCTTTGGCATGTGGGGCACTCATCGTACACTTTAGCCCAGTCACCATCCACTGTGATATAATGTTGACTGGAAACCAGAGTATTTCCAAGTTTTAGGTCTCTATGGGCTATGTTGTGGCTATGTGGATAATCTAGCCGAGTTTCAACATCTCTTGAGCATAACAACAACACATCTAGAAGACGCATCTGAGAAAGACTCGAACTCGAACTCGGCATCAATCAAATGAATGGAATCCTCAAGAGAACTCACTTTCTTGTCAACTTCAAGAAAATTGAGGTCGAAACACGAGTACTCCATCATAATGGCGTACGGTTCTTGGCAGAATTTCAGGAATTCACACACATTTCTGTGGCCCTTTACCGTGTTAAATATTGCAGCCTCTTTCCCAAATCTTCGTTTAGCCTCGGCCGACTCTCCTTTCATTTTCTTTAAGATGGCATTTTGCTCTTCTTTTTAGTAGTTCACCAGATACACAGAGCCAAACGTCCCACTTCCAAGCTGTTCTTTTATACTTATATCTCGCCATTCGAAAAGCGGAAAATTAACAGGAGGTTTGCGTTTTTTCACGAGACACGGTAGCTTGAAAGAAGCTGCCATCTTCGCGTGACAATTACAATGCAAATTTTGTTGAATGTTGGTGCGAATCTTTGATGACGTTAAAGGTCACCAGACCATTTCCTTCTCCTGTAACAAAATAAGCGACCGTCACGTACGTTTATCTTAATACAATTTTACTCCGGGGCATATAGTTTTGAAGCTAGAAAAAATAAGGTTTTGTTCTTTTTGCTGCGAATTGTTCGTTTATCAGAATGTTTATAAACGTATTGAAGGGAACAAGGTACTCATTGGACATGTTGCGTGACAGAAAGTGTTATTATTATTATTATTATTATTATTATTACTATTATTATTATTATTATTATTATTATTATTATTATTATTATTATTATTATTATTATGTCGCAGTATGAAACTTTGGAATGCTGTCCACATTATGAATAGTATAGGGCGCATGGCGTAACCTACACCACTTGAGAAGCTATACTTAGAAGTAAGAAAAGGTCGATACGAAACCTAATACAATCCTAAAATACATAGTGATATGAATCTCTCTACTTAAAAAGCCAATTTAGAATATTATTAAATTCTGATACTCTGTAAAACCTTCGCTATCTCTACTAAAAACATATTTATAATAATATCACACTCTAATGTTCTAAAAAATCTAAGTAAAAACGTCAGCAAGCTTGTGTTTCTACATTTCTAGAGAAAAAACAAAAACCTAAAAACTGAAGTCCATAGCGCCCTAACTAAGTATTTATCTTAAATGTTCTGGCAATGTTTAAAGTGTTTGAGATGACCGACTTCTGCATCCGCTCAAGTACGCTCCGTGCTCTCGCTCCAAGTAGCTTCCTCACCGACTTCTCTAGGTGTTTAGAGTAACCCCCCAGTACGTCAATTATTACGTTGTACTGTTCAACCCTGTACCCATTGTATCTCTGCTTCAGCTCCCACATCATGGGCCCATACTTGAGTGTCTTTTCCTCATCTTTCTTAGCTCTACTCTCAATCCATGGGCAGCTCATTTCAATTGTGCAGACTTCTTTCCTCTCGTGGTTGACAAGTCGCGCGTCGATCCGATTTGCTCTAACTTCGTTGTGCTCTGCATAGATGGGAATATCCCAAAACGCCTCACTCGTGGTGTTCTGGTAGGCTGGTTTTGGCATCACCGGTGAGTACCATGGTGGAACCTCTTCCATTAACCCATGCTCTCGCAGGAGCTCAAAAAACAGAATCTTCAAAGCTGCATTATGCCTGTATAGGTACTTGGTTTGTGCCAGGGAGGAACATCCAGCCAGTACAGGTGCAACGCTCTCTCAGCTACCTTCCCACATAACCTGCATAGAACTTCGCGGTCGGTGGAGGTTTGCGTCTTCTCCTTTATGTAGAGCTTCGTAGGTAACAACTGCTCATACAATTCATACATGCCCGCGATGGTATGTGTAAGGCATGTAGCCCAACCTTTTAACCATGCAAAGCAGCTGGTTATGAATTAGGCTCTCATCTTCCCATCTGATACGGAATAACTTTCCTTGCCACTTTTTGTCTTAAGCGATCTCCAAGAACTGCTTCTCTTGAGATTGCTTCAACAGATTCCCAGCTCTTGCTGCAGTTACCACCTTTCCTTCTGTTGTAACACACACGGGATTTAGGGTATCAAGCTGAAGTGTGATGTTGAGTTCTTCAGCGTACTTAGCTGCTTCCTTTACGAGCGACTGGTGGCCTGATGCCATGGCGTGTTCTTCAAATTCTCTAACTGCTTCCACAGTCTGGTCCGGGTTCTGATACAATTTCAGTAGCGATTTGATTTTAGTGATCTTGTACTCGTGTTCGACTGATCGCAGGCCTCTACCCCCTTTCTCCCTCGGTAGATATAACAAAGAAGTCAGGCTAGCTGGGTGCTTGCCATCGTTCTCAACTACGATCTTCCGAGCTGCTCTGTCCACATCTCTTAACTCTGATAGAGGCCAATGCTGTGTCCTCATTAGGTACCGCAGGACCGGGAGTGCATACTGATTAGATGCCTGCACACGGTTACAATCAGACAGGGGGCTGGACTATATAATAGATATCCTGCGTAGATACTCTTCAGCCGCGCAAGCTAGGGCCAGCCGTTCATCCTGTCGAACGTTCTCTAGCACCCCCAGGAATTTATAGTGTTTTCCTTCCCCAAGAGCCGTGATGGTAGTTGTCTCGTCCATCCTCATACCAGACTCGTCTAGCACTTGGGCTCCCCTCTTCACGTGTACCACTGAGCACTTTTTCTGACTCCAGTGGAGGCCGATGTCCTGCACCGCTCCTCTAATCTCTTTCAGCACTCGATTCAGCTTGCTCTCGGAGGCAGCAAAAACCTTGAGGTCGTCGATATACAGGAGATCGGTGACTTTGACTCCTATAGGCTTGGATAACCGGTATCCCTCTGTTGCCCGCAGGCGCCACGCTACAGGGTTCAGGCACAGTGTAAACAGTCTAGGACACAAAGCGTCCCCCTGGGGTAGACCCTTCATGAACCTTATTTTTCTAGAAGTCTCTCGCCCTTGCCTTGTTGTAGCTACTACTTTAGTATTCCAGCTCGCGCACAACTTGCGTATAACCTCACCCAGCCAGACGGGAAGCCTGTGTACGTCAGTCATTGCGCATAACCAATCATGATCGACGGAGTCGTAGGCTTTGCGCACGTCAATCCATGCCATACTTAAATTCCGTTTGCCTCTGTGACAATCCAGCATTACAGCTCTATCGATTAGCAAGTTATCCATCGTACCGAAACACCCTGATTTCGCTCCTCTTTGCTGGCCTTCCATCAGGCCATAATGTTCAAGGTGTTGGTCCATGGGTGCCAGGAGGCAAGATGTAAACCACTTATACATGTTATTCAGACAAGTAATAGGTCTTTGATTTTCACTGAGGAACTCGCCTTCTTTCGGAATGAGGGAGGTTTTCCCTTCAGAAAACCACTCGGGGTAATCTTCGTCGCTCTTAGAAACTTCTTTGAAGCTCTCGACCACACCCTCGTGCAGGGTGCTAGCACGTTTCCACCAAAAGGCCCTGGCGCACTCCAGTTGCGCTTCTTGGACAGGACTTTGACCGCTTCCGCTACTTCGAGAGCCCATTCGTCGCCTGTTGGTGGTGGTACTTGCTCGTGGATCGCGAGCTTTACTTCCTGCAACCAGGCCGCGTACTTATTCCCAGTCCCTCTCTCTTCCCACAGCTTTCTCCAAAACCCGCTCGCCTCTTCAATGTTTTCAAACATTCGCGAATCATCTCGAGCACGTTTTCCAGGATCTTTATATCTTGGCCGCTCATTCTCTGGGTCCTTCTTCAACATCTCACTCAAGAAGGACCCAGAGAATGACGTTAATTGATCGACGAGGACAATATTTTCGCGATTTCAACGCCAATCGTCAAGGGTACGAGTTGAAATTTACGCGATTTAACCTCCGATCGTCAAGGTGTTTTCGATAAGAAAAGAAAAAAAGTGAACTTCTAGCTGTGCTCGGCAAAAACTGGCGAACTCCGAATAGAAAAATCTATCGGAAATCACGGCCGGCAATTAACGTCAACCAGACGCTACTAAAACCTTATGAAAAAGCTAGACCTAAACAAAAAAGAATCATGAAGGAAAGAAATAATTTGGCTTAGGTCGCCTTTCGTGACTTGCCAGCATGATCCCGAAGGATTTCGCTGGCCATCCTAAACCACGAGTGGGAAAACTCAAGCGCGACAAATTTGGCAAGGAACGTTCTGATTTCAACGTTCTTCAGAGGAAGCAAATCGATTAAAAATCGATACAGTTTTTGTAAAATCTGATTGGTCGGCTTGGAAGAAGAGATAATCGATAAAGATTTTACGCAATCCTATTGGCTGTCTTTGCAATTTTGGGTACAACCACCGGGTTTTTACCGTGGGAGTGCCACAGGCATGCCACGGGAAAAAAAAAGACTTCCGCAGGAGCCTATCCTGAGTCCGAGTTTTACCAGTCCTCGTTTTACCAGTCCAGTCCACGACATAAAGTATGCCAAATGTAAAAAAAACGAGACAGCGCTTTCCTTGTGCACAGCGGGTGTTAACTCAATAAGGTCAAGTCCACGGGCGGCATAAATAAGTTTTCTGTACCCAAATGGAGCTTAAAGACTAAATCTGAATCGAATCTGAGGGAAGCGATGTAGATTATTGTTCCTTGCACGGCA